CTCTGCTCATCCCTGCTGCCAAAGCAATAATATGACTTACGAGCAGCCTTAATTTATGCCAGACCAAGAGTAATTTCCATCCATGAAGATGGTTGAGGTGTGTGGGAATTGCTGTTACTTGTCTTGTGATGTGGCATCAGGACGTTTGCAGCACTGTAATTCAAACACAGCTGCTTCCTCAAACTCTTTATCCATAGATATGCTGACACATGCAGTTCTGTTCTTTCAAAGCCTCTTGTAGTTTAGAGCTCACATGGCAACACATATTAGTGTTTCCAGTGACTGTAGATCAAACTGACAACTGACACTGTGGAAACAAAGATTCTTCAGTTTGTTGTTGCATCATCCAAACGTCTGTTTAACCCTTATGTGTACATGGGACTTCAACCATAGTTTCTAAAACATTTTTTTTTCTTCCTCCCAACGGCAAGATCAAACCAACAATGTTTTTTTGTTTTGACTTAACCACTTCCTCATGCTTTTACCCCCCACTGAACTTTGTTTGTGGATAAATGGGTGGAATTCCACTGGGGCTTCACCATTGTTTTGCTGCAACATCTCATTCGCAATGTACTTTAGTGTGAACTTTGGCCGACTGAATCAATGTGGGCAGTGTCAGACGCAACCTGTGAGTAAGTGGGCTGGGAGGCGGAGATTGACTGGATTAACTACTGACTTGAATCCAGTTTGGCATTTCTCCAGAACTAACTAGTTTGATCCAGCTGAATAAAATGACTCATCTTGCTTCATAAACAATCGGCTGATTTTCAAAAGCCCACACAAATTTTTAATTAATCTATTCTTTTGCACCCACAGTTTCTGACCAAAAACCCGGCACGGCGCCTTGGCTGTGTGGCGTCCGAGGGTGGCGAGAACGCTGTGACTAGCCACGTCTTCTTCACTGCCATCGACTGGGAGAAACTGAATCGCAGAGAAGTTGAGCCTCCATTCAAGCCAAGGATTGTGAGTATCAAAAATGACCTCAGTATTGGCACAAATTATGCAAATAGGTTATTTAGTTTAGGTTTGTTCGGCCTTGTGGCTGTGATTTATTCTCTTAAACGGATGAATAAAATATCACATAATTACTTTCCCCCAGAAAACACCAGAGGACGTCAACAACTTTGACCCAGATTTTACCCAGGAAGAGCCCACCCTCACTCCCATGGATGACAATATGATTCCTGCCGTAAACCAGGAGGAGTTTAGGAACTTTTCCTTCACTTCACCTGAACTGCTTGAAATATAACAGTCTCAACCATCTTCCACCTGCGTCATTCCTCTCACTTTCTTTGACGGTCTAAGATGGTTCCCCTGTCATTTGTATGGAATGATCCTTTTATATTCCCCTGAAATGTGATTGTGAAAAGCCAAGAAGTCAGACACATCATGACAGGAAACTCTTTTCCTACTGGAAGTCATGTAATTCTGGACAAAGTAGTGTTTGACCTGCTTTTGAAATTACATTCAGGTTTGAGTGTCATGTGGCTTATTTCCCACATTTCATGTGTCTACAGGATGTTTTTATATGCTGTTGAGTTGTAAGTATTTTGATTCCTTTTACATTTTCTAAAATGAAAAAGCACTTTTTGGATCATAAACTTTGTTGGTTTTGTTCCAGTTTTCTTTCTTTGCTCTAGCATTGCACACACACACACAAACACAGTTTTTGACGGTCCAGCCAGAGATTCCCAGAAAAGTCTGTGTGCCAGTTTAATCCTGGAACGACTGAGTGTGCAGACAAAATAGTTTCTCAATGATGTTACCCCGCTCAGGAGAAATACACAAATACTCAAGCACACCAGTGAAATTAGATTTTTCTGGATCCCCTTTAAATGAGACAAAAAGCTCAAAGCTGGAAATGGGTTTGGTTCTGTTTCAGGCTGTGAATAATTTACACATCATAGTTACAAAACCTGCGGGCATGATGAATATGGTGCAATATTTCATGAAAGCAATTTGGGAATTTGTGTTGATAGTGAGGCATATTACCAACGTAATTGTGGGCTTTTGCCATAACCGAATAGTTGCAGCTCTAATTTTCTCAAGACTAACAGTAATCTTTTAGTCCTCTGCTGGCTTTTTAACTCTCGCTCTTCCCCACAATACTGAGCCTTTTGGAGCTCCCAGCTCAGTGGGCAGCCTGCGTTGGTAGTTACTTCCAAACATGCAAACCATTTGAACATTCTGTGAGAAATAAAACAAAAAAAAAAAGGGGCAAACAGAGAGGCGACTTACAATTGGAACCATGCATAACTGTAATATTGCCCAATCCTCCCGTTGGAGACCTTCAGTCTTCTGATTTGTCATTGGAAACTGGCTACAAATAAACAGGAAACCACACAACGTCATTACTGTCACTTCTCAATGAAACAGGATGAGAGGAGCGACTGATTCATCCTTTTTTTTATATGTGTTGAGACACTTTAATGCAGTACAAAGAGTCTGGGGGACAGTTAGGTCAAATTGTAAAAACAAAAAGTGACCAAATTTAGGTTACTTGCTGCGACTAAAACCTGCACAAACATGAACAAAGCCAACCCTCTCAACATGGAATTTTCCAGTTAGTACAGAAGAGGAAGTCTTCATGCTCCACATGTGTTTATCTCCTCAGGCCCATGTCCTGTGGAGGATTGTAAATTGGCAGTAAGAGATACCAAAATGCCTCTGTAGATTCTGAAATTGAAACCGGTTGTACTATTACTGCTGAGTTTTAAAGGATTAATATTTATTTGAAATTTCACATTTTTGTTTTAACCCCTCCCTGAAAAAAGAGATGTTTCTTAAAAAAATTCAATTCTCTCTTAGCTTTCATTGCAGAGAATTATTGGTAGCTCCAACCAGTGCCTCTTCCCTCCCTTACTCAATCAGTATTAGACCCCGCTGTGCTGAATGTTTGACAGATAACCCCCAAAGCAGCAACAGTTAATGGAAGGGACTTGCAGCCTCCCCTAGTAATTTCCTGCAGAAATCTCTAAATAGATCTGTATCTTTTTTATTTTGTCACCTCCAGGACATTTTGTGCTCCTCCCCAGCTCAGTGCTCATCTGCTCATCATGGTGTTGCAGTCTTAAATCTATCCTGTAAAATTGTGGCTCTCAACCTGTCAAGGAACTGCAAACACAGGCCATATACTGGATGCTATATGAAAAAGCTGGTATAGTTTTAAGAGTGCTCAGTGGTACAGCAAAAAGTGCAAATAACTTCCAGATGTAATGAAGCTGTGCAGAAATATCAACTCTTAATGTCTAGACAGTAACTTTCTAGTACTCATTTTCTATTATCACAGTTAGGGATTTTTTCTTTTTCTTTTTTTTTAGTTTATACCTGCTTTCTGATGCTCACGTAAGTACAGAGTCTTTCACAAAACAGACTGATTTCATGTCTCAAGTCCAAGTTCAGCTCTGCTATTCACACTCAGGTGACAGACCAAGTAAGTCCATCTTGAAAAAAAACAACCAAGTCTTTGTCTGAATTGAAGGGTTAACAGCTATTAAATAATCCAATGGAAATAAAAAGAAGATGTTTTTCTTGAAAGGGCTTATCACGGAGGGGCTAATTACATACTGTACATGACTGATGAGGAGAGGTCGAGCTGGACAGAACCCTTCCAGGAAATTTGGTTAGTCATGTCAGTGAATTTAGTGCAGAAGGAATCATATGTCTCCATAAAACCACAAAAAATTGTTCACTTCCCAGCGACAATAGTCTTTAAACATGTTTTTTTTTTTTTTTTTACCATGGTTTCGCATTTACAGTGTATGCATTAGAGGAAATAAAAAGTTATTTAGTACAAGTATTCATTTGTTTCAGAACATCATTAAGATGTGAACACCCAAAGTGCCTACTATCAGTAATGGTACATAAGCTTTTCAACAGTTATACAGTATTTTAGATTTAGGAAATGCATGTGCAAGGCCAAAAGATGAAACATCAGAAGGTTTTAACAGTGAATGTTTGGACCCAGAACAAGATCTTCGTCATCAAAATGTCTTTTACAAGTTTAAATAACACGTAGACAGCCACGCTACGCAGAATGAAACTAGACTATATGTGATGAGGGAATATGTATCAGTTAACAGATTGACCAGATTGTCCAGATTGAAATACAAAAACACCCTCCAGTATATAACCCATGGAAACGCAGGGGTTTCTCTTCTATTTTGATGAATGACAATATGGGTACTGAAGTTTGCTATTCTGTTTTTGATTAAAATGGCAGATTGACATTTTGAGCAGTGCTGCAAAAGTAATTTGAATGAGAACAGCACCATGAGATGGATGAGAGAAGCAGCATGACCCAAACACCTGTTACAGCTGGCACTGGTTTAAGGGCAGTTCCACTGGAAAAACTTTAGGCCCACTATGCATAATGCATTTTCAGTGGAATGTGAATCTGTCTTGCTCCATCACCACAGTCTTTGACTGACTACATGACAGTAACCTCTCTTTAACAGCAGCCTTCACTTATAACCTGGGAAATAGCATTGTACATTGGAAAAAGAAAAAAGACACTCTTATAAATCTATCAATGATATAGTTATGGGCCTGTGTTTAAAGTTTACACGGTCTCTTGAATACACATTGGGCCTTGATTTGTTTCATTAACGGATCACAAAGGCGCGTCCTCGTTGGTAGAAAAAAGAAAAGAAAAGGAAAAGGCATGTGACTGCGCGTGCCCGCTGACGTGGAGGGAGGAGCGAGCCTTCATGAGGCAACGTTGTGTCAGCCAAAGCAGCCTCTCCAGCGTGGCAAGAAATTCTCACCAAAGAGTAGACGAATAGTCTGGCTTTTTATTTTGGTTCTGTTTTGTTTATTATTTTTAGCCACAGCAGTTTTGGTGGTGTTTCCGACGAAGCGTACACGGCGTAAACTCTTATGTAACACTCTTAGAGAGTTCCGGATTAAAACCAGTGTGGGATTGTGGTTCATTTTCCGATACGACCGGAACACAACTCGATACTGATTGAGAGCCTCTACCCAGTCCCTTTCGTCCTGACATGGACACAGGAATCGTACCCGAAAAGAAAAGGTAACGCCAGCGCTAGCTAACGCAGCGGGACAGGCCGTGGCGTCGGTTAGACGCACGCGGGGCATCTTAGGTCCTTTGTTGGTGTTTCGTTACTTCCACTGCTGCGACATTACGGCCTTTATTTCAAGGTTAACTGCCAGTTTGGCTGGTTTTTTGGACTTGAGGCGGCCGGTAGCGCCCCGGCGTCACTGCCAAGAGGCTAACGCAGTTAGCTAACATACGTAGCCACTAAAGGATGTGGATAATGCTGTGAATTGTTCGCCAGCGGCAACTTGTAGATTCAGAAAATGTAGAGCTAGTTTGTTTGTGACACTTCCGGTAATATGTCTCTGAGTTTTGGGGTTTAATCTCGCCAACTCTGCGCTGTATGTTTGGAGATTCGGCGGTGTACATAATGGTTATTAATATGTGATTTGATTAGTTATGTTGTAACCCTACTCTGTACACGACTAATGAGTAGATTTGGGGGGGTCCTGTTGTGAGCAGTTGTGCCAGATATTGACAGTGTTAAGTGAAAAGCTGCCAGGACACATGTGATCCCTGTGGACTGTGGTGTTTGGTTTCTGTTGAAATATTCAATGTTATTCGATCTAAGGGGCTGTAAAAAAAAATTGTTTTGCTCTTTGCGAATTGTTGGCCTTGTGTTGTGTCTTGTCAGCAAGTGCATTGAAAATATTTAGGGAGCATTTTCACAAAAGATTTTCATGAGGGGGACGAACTTTAATTGTTATTAAACTGTCCAAACATCTTATTAGTGACTGTTAACTGTGTTAAAGGCCAAGTTGGTAACCAACCGTAATTACTATATCCAATACCTAGATTAGGTGAGTGTATTTGTCGTGAGTAAAAACAGGGATAGTATCTTTTGAAAGACTGGTGGGCCATAAATGAGAAGTGAGAGCCAACAAGTGAAGGGAGGTTTTATTTTCACTTCTTTAATGATTAAGCCTGATAATAATCAGATTTCACATTTACTCAATAAGATGAGTTATTTTATTGTAATTTGCTGCTGGTTTTAATAATGTGAAACTTAAAACTATTCTAAGAATGCTCTGGAGTCTTAATGTGAACGATTTCATGAACAATGTGTGAGCAACATGTTGGAGAGAAAAAGAAAACTGTGTATAGGACACCAAACTGCTCATCAAATGTAATAAATAGCAGATCCTGAGGGGTTCTGTTTTCTTGTTTTTTAAACTTGAGAGGCTGTTAGATGTGTGTGTGTCAGTGTGTGTGTTCAGTTTGATCCTTTTGTTATGCTTTTTTTCCATGTAGGGAAAAAACAAGTCCAGTACCTTCTTGGCTGGTATCTGTGAGTTGTTCAGCTACTACCTGTGTCATCTCTTAATCACTGGGGCTTTACGTCAGGAGTTGCCAAATGCGTGTAGAGATTTGCTGGCTGGCAGTAGGTGTGCAAGAGGTATTTTATTTACTGGCCAGTTAGAACTTGAAAAATATTTTATATGATTTAGAGCACAGATGGGTGCTTTACTTATTTATTTATTGATTTTTGTGGTTGAAAAGTAAAGTCAATGCAGTGCAGATTCTATGGGGGGTAAAGTTGATACAGCCTAATGCAAAAGAAGAAAAAGGTGTGTCCGTGTGCTGCAAACAGGAAAAGCGGGTATTTAGACTTGGATTTAATTGTAAGATCTCATAGTTGAGCTGAAGTGATCTTATCTAAAACCTGAAGACTTCAAAGCACATCTATTTTGTCAACTGCAAAATACTAAGCACCTTCCCATGATTATGTCCATGTGGAGTATTGCCATATTGCCCCCTCGACAACTCAACCCAGCACAGTGGTAATGAGTTTTACAGAGTGTCCTAAACAATGCAAGGAAGGGTGGATGCAGGCAGTGTGCATCATGTTTTCATATTTTGTGCATAAAGGTTTTAGGTGAATGCATTATCACACTTCCTTCCTCACGGTGTGAGGAACTCTTTTGTTTGAAAGATTTCTTTATGTTTGATGCTTTGTCTACTCTCAAATTCTTAAAATAGTTTTGCCGGGCCTAATTTTTCCTCAAAATGGGCTCAATTTCTGCCTTTCTTGGCTCCCATGTAACGCTTCCTTAAATTGGATTATATAAACAGAGCGTGTTTACCGTCAAACTAAAGAGGACCAAGAGGGAGAGCATTTTTGCTGGTAAAATGGGTCAGCCCCCAGGAACAAAGTACACCAGCCACACTATAGTGACACTGACTGATCAAGGTGATCCTCCTGGGGGAGTGTCATTTTTGTTTTTACTTCTCACTTGAAAGTCCGTAATCCACCTTCTGGTGGGTTTTGAGGAGTTGATGGAGATTAGGGATGATTGTTTTTATTATTTAAAGTAGAAACAGATAAAATGCCCATGGCACAAATTAAAACCTGAGCTTATTGCACAGCACCGATGGCATACCACTAAAGTTAAAGAACTGTATTAATTTGAAGTGAATGTCTAAGCTATGTCCAAACAGTTTAAGGTCATGCTTAGGCTTGAAGAGTTTGTTTGTGTTCACAGCAGAAGTCTACATGCACCTGCATGAGTCTTTCCGTGTTTGGATTGGATGACACTGGAAATGCATGCCAAGACCTTGTGCTCAACACTGATCCAATTATGGTTTATTTTTTGATTGATCTGTTTTTAAATAGTTTGCTTTTAAGATGAAATCTTTGGAGGAAGGCAGATTATTTGAAAAATATCTCATTATTGGAGAGATCATTGTATTCATATTCACATGTTTGTTTCAGGGTTGATGGTAGCTGTGGAAAAAACTCCTCATGTGATTTATTTTTTATTTTTTACAAAGGCTTATGCCTTCGCAAAGTTTGTGACTTCCTGAGAGACTAGCGTATTGTGCAGGCTTGCAAATCTTTTTACCCCAGAGGATTAATTAAATTTCATAGACTGTCACACTTCGTATGCTTGTGATGGAAAGTTTTGATCTAAACTACAAAGTCTCCTGGAACCCTGACACTTGATTTTAAATTGCAGTAGGCTAATTTTAGTTGGCCCATCTATTTTCTGGTTTGGGAGCCTCAAATAACAATGTGGCCTTCATGCTGGAAGTGCCTAATGGATCCATTTCAATTTGGTGTGCATTTCATAGCTAAGTGCTTTTGAACTGTTGCCTGTCTTGTTGTGACACTGTTCTGTGGGCGTCCAGATGCATTTGGGGTTTTAAGGTGGTGTTTGTGAAGAGAGTGGTGATGTATTTTCAAAGCCGGGGATCATGCTCATTAATCTTGCATACATGGTAACAATAGTGAGTGACACAGTCGAATCCATATTGACAAGCTCAAATTGTTTTGTTCAGTTAGTTTGGGACATCGGGGTCACAATGTCCCTTTTTTAAACAATGCTTCAAAAGATGTTTATTATAGCAACTTGCTCACCCTTTTGTCCAAGTAGAAGGTCTTGGATAGCTGCCTGAGTTGTGAGAGCTGCTAATGTTTTAAAAAAAAAAAACCTAACTGATTGTATAGTTGGGTGAAAATCCCATTATGTGCTTGTGTGCTGGCAATAACTTAGACTCGACTTAGTTTATCCCTTTGGATGACTCCTTGAGGGAATGTTATCCCATTTCCCCGTAGATACGTAAAACACAAGCTTAGAAATGTCTTAATGTTTGGTGACGCATTGTAGCTTGGCTCCGCACCACAGGACAGAAATCCCAACCTCCCAGCCAACCACCTTGAGTGGGTGGGCCCTACTTCTTATGGTCAGCAGCCAATACGATGCTTGCAGATGGCTGTCTGTTTAAATGCGCCTTTCATGAGGTCAGTCAGTGGCTGGACCTTGAGGTTGTTTGTTAAGGACTCCAACCATTGCAGCCAGGGCAGACCAGAGGCTGGCCAGAAACACAATAAACCCACTCTAGTTGGGAAGCGGGCATGACAGCTCCTGCGATTTGCATATCAAATCCAATATGTGGCCAGTCTCCAACTCATCCACCACCTGTCTCCCACAGGGTGAGCTCGGAGCGTAGAAAGGAGAAATCAAGGGATGCCGCAAGATGCCGTCGTGGGAAGGAGTCGGAAGTATTCTACGAGTTGGCCAAATTGCTGCCCCTCCCCCACAGCATCAGCTCAAGCTTGGACAAGGCCTCTATCATGAGGCTGACCATCAGTTACCTGCGCATGAGAAAACTACTGTGCACTGGTCAGTACCTAACTACACCTGTTAAAACGGGCAACTGTCCTAATGTGTTTTCATAACAATGAGAGGAAGGCTTGGCTCAGGAAGACTTTAGCCCTGATTGAATTATACTTATTTGTAGTTGCGAGCCTTTATTATATCTCAGAAAAAGAAGCAGCATGAAGAGGGTGGGGGGGAAACCCAGATTACAAACTGGGGAAAGCACCAATATGTGTCGAAAAACTGAGTCACCTGCTCTGAAACTGTTAGACATGTGCTTTTAGAGACTCTGCAGTAGATATATGCCTATAACTACGGTGTTTTATTTAGTTTGTGGCTGTTCGATAACTAATGTTAAGATTTTTTTTCCTACTTCTACTAGCTACATCTATTTCTGCTAATCTCCTCTAGATGAACCAGTTGAAGAGAAGGAAACAGAGTTGGATATCCAGCTAAACAGCTCCTATCTAAAGGCTCTGGAGGGATTTCTCATGGTGCTGTCTGAAGATGGAGATATGATCTATATCTCTGAGAATGTCAACAAGTGCCTTGGGCTGGCGCAGGTTGGTGTTTTAAAAAAACAAACGAACAAAAAAAATGTTCACCTACTCTGTCTCAGAAAGAGGAAATTGGGCCACCAATGTAGTGCTGAAATGTTTTTTTTCTATTTATACCAGACAGAATGCAAAAACTTGCATATCACAGATGTTTTTGTATTGTACACTAATGTTATTAACGAGAAATTACATGTAACAGAGACAGTTGAAGCCTCGCAATGCTTCACACTGTTGTGTACATGGGAAAAACTTTTTTTTTTCTCCCCGTCTGCCGTAGTTCGACTTGACTGGACAAAGTGTGTTTGATTTCACACATCCCTGTGACCAGGAGGAGCTGAGGGAGATGCTGATCCACAGGACGGGTGAGGGGTGTCATATTGTTACATCTAACTGAGACACAAATCCCTGAGAGAAGGCTGATAGAACAGTGAGTGTGGTCCCTCCAGTCCTGAATGGAGTCATCTGACCAGCTTGTGTAGATGACATATTGCTACCTTCATGTGTTTGATTACTTTTTACTTTACCATTTGATTAATTTAGCTAAAACCCATAAGTTTTTGCCATCAGCTGTTTGATTTTTTAAGGCCACGCTTACTTTGGCTGTTGAGCATTTGACTGCTTACACACTGTTATCATTTCAGCTGTAAACACTGTTACTCTGTAGCTCACCACAGTGCAGACTTAAAGTCCACTCATTTGATTTTAATCAATATGTTCCAGAAGAACACCAAAATACTGGCAGTTGAAAATAACTTCTGTTGAAATGGTAAGAAAAAGTGCTGGTTTGCCCTCTTTCACTGTGGCTCCTTTTCTCTCATGTCAGGTTCCAAGAAAGCAAAGGACACAAACACAGAGCGCAGCTTCTTTCTGCGGATGAAGTGCACCCTCACCAGCAGGGGCCGCACTGTCAACGTCAAGTCAGCTTCGTGGAAGGTAGGCCACAGTGGAGCGCCCCAGGAAACCCGCAGAAACGCTTTCGGTGCATTTGTAAATGTTGTCATCTTCCCCTCTGCATCTGTCGGCCAGGTTGATCAGATTTTCTACAACTACTTTTTTTAATGAAGTCTGGGTTGAAAGAGGCAGCTATATCATCCTTTTAATCATTCTGTTAGGCTTCAGTAAACGGCCTGGCAGCCAGCGTTTGAAGCTGTAGGGTCTGTGCTGCCTTTGTGCTGACAGACGGAACAACCCCTGACTTAGAACAGGGGTCGATGAAAGAATTACAGTTGTAGAAAGAAAGATTAATGACTGCTGGTTTGTTTAGATATTTATTATTTACCCTCTGTCAGGTAAATGTCTGGAATCTGCACCAGAGATTGTGGTCGGAATCAAAATGCCTGATGGTTGTGTTGCTGTTGTCCTTCTGTAGGTGCTGCACTGCTCAGGTCACCTGCGTGTTTATGATGGTCCAGGTGGAGAGGGCCCCGACGGGAACCAGGAGGCACCTGTTCCCTACCTTGTTTTGATTTGCGACCCCATCCCCCACCCCTCCAACATAGAGGTCCCTCTGGATACTAAGACCTTCCTAAGCCGCCACACAATGGACATGAAATTCACATATTGTGATGAGAGGTTAGTTCTCCCATCCTAGTGAATATTAAAAGCTTAAGGGCCTAGAGGCGGATCAATATGATTGAGCTTCTTAACCCATCTGTGTCGTTTATTTCCATCAGCAGTCATCGCTGCTGCTCGAGTTGGCCTGTAGTGACGCAGAGCCACCTTGTGCTCAGAGCAGGTATCGCAACAGCTTGCTCTAAAAATGAATCTATTTTTCCCCTCCAGGATCACCGAGCTCATGGGTTATGACCCAGAAGACCTGCTGAATCGTTCTGTGTACGAGTACTACCATGCTCTGGACTCAGACCACCTTACTAAGACTCACCACAACTGTAAGCAAGATGGCTTGAAACTCAAAAGTGTTCCAGAAACCCGTAGCGGCTCGTTTTGACCTACCAGTAACCCCTGCCCCTTCCCTTATCGTTTTTGTTTTGATCGCAGTATTCGCAAAGGGGCAGGTGAGCACAGGGCAGTACAGGATGCTGGCCAAGAAAGGAGGCTTTGTATGGGTCGAAACACAGGCCACTGTCATCTACAACAACAAGAACTCCCAGCCACAGTGTGTCGTTTGTGTCAACTTTGTTCTCAGGTACTGTGAATGCTCTCTGCACACTCACTGGCTTTGGAATAGATGGGCGTCTCATTTAGCCCAGCGAAGCACTGTTTTGTAACCTGGTGATTGTGATCATGTAAAGAAAACTGTTCCGTTTGCAGCTGCATTACCTCTGGTGTGCCTGCCTCTTTCCACAGCGGCATCCAGGAAGATAAACTTATCCTGTCTCTGGAGCAGACTGAGGATGAGAAGCCAGTGAAGGAGGAGAAGAAGGCTCTAGTTGAGAGCGACGAGCCTTCCCAGGCAGAGGAGGAGGACGAGGAGAGTCCAAAGCTCGATGTTTTGAAGCTTTTTACACAGGTGGAAGAGCCCCAGCCAGTGGTTAGCCTGTATGATCAGCTAAAAGAAGAGCCCGAGGCCCTCACCCTGCTGGCCCCAGCAGCGGGAGACACCATCATCTCCCTGGACTTCAGCAGCCCCGGTCCGTGGCTACCCCATTCTAATCAATATTTGGTCAGAATAAATCAGTTTGGATTGAAACGTATATATAACAGCAGTCTAACCTTTGTTTGATACAGAAACGGAGATCCACATGCTAAAGGATGTCCCTCTGTACAATGACGTCATGCTTCCTGCCACAAGTGACCAGCTGGCCCTGCCCCTGTCCCCTCTGACACCCAGCGAGCCGCTCACCGGTTCCAGCCCCACCTCTGAGGACAAAAAATCAGAGGCCTTCGTCCCAGCCCCGCCCACCACGCTGACCGAACAGAGTCCTGCAGAGGTAAGGAGACTTTGCTTTCAGCTGTTCGTGAAAACATTTTGCATTCGCTTCTCAACTTAACCTCAGCTTGTCTTCTCTTCAGGCCGAAAGCTCTTTGGACTTCTGTTTCCCCATGGAGTCAGATATGAGCTCAGATTTCAAACTAGACCTGGTGGAAAAGCTGTTTGCCATTGACACAGAGTCCAAAACCCCCTTTAACACACAGGTATGTCTCAAAGGGGTCGGCACACTACTCTTTGAATAAGGGTTTCCATCATGCATTCTTTGATTTTTCATACTGGACTCATCCTTTCCACACTTTGTGGGGTCATCAGTAATAGGATAGAAGTCCGATATATGTAAATATTCTGATTCCGTTTGTTTACTTCTGTCATTGGAGGACTTGGACATGTTGGCTCCCTACATCCCCATGGATGATTTCCAGCTGCGCAGCCCCCCCACAGAGGAGCCCCTGTCCTGTGGACCGGTCAGCTCTCCGGAGAGCTCCCCATTGTGCCTCATACAGGACACCAGCAGCTATCCCAGCCCTTCATTCAGCCCCCCCGAGAGTCGCACGGCCTCACCAGCCCCACCTGAGTTGGTCACTGCACCCCTTCTTCACACCATCATGTCACAGAGGTAGAATCTGCAAATGGTTTTCTCTCTCAGTTTTAGTCCCTCCGATGTTCACTTGACCGTGTAGAGCAGTGGATAAAGTGCTGCTGTTGTGTTGCAGAGCCCCTCAGCCAGAGAAGGAAGTCTCTCTGAGATCCCTGGTAGCTCAGAACGTGCAGCGCAAAAGAAAACTGAGCGACCTGAAGGAGATTATAGGACAGGTCGGTACAACCATCCAATATGTGGTGGTCTGGCTTACTTTTACCCAGGTTTGTACTAGATTTTTTTGACAGTCTGTGACCTTTTCTTTTATAGGGAGCTGTCCCACTGGAGCAGCTTGAAACGGGCAAAAAGATGAAGGCGTCCGAGTCGGGAAAAACTACAATAATTCTGGTGTCTTCAGGTGAAATGTTTAAGAACTTCTTGGCTTGTTTCACAGCTCACCGACCGAGGAGTTCTAACCGTTTTTTTTCTTTTCCTGTTTGTAGATCTGGCTAGCCGGCTGCTCGGCACCACTCTAGAGGGCACCAGTTCCCCCTTCACGCTGCCGCAGCTAACCCGCTACGACTGCGAGGTCAACGCCCCCTTACAGGGCCGCCAGTACCTCCTGCAGGGGGAGGAGCTGCTGCGCGCTCTGGACCACGTCAACTGAGCCAGTGCTTCACTGCTGAACTGGACTGGACACTACAATTAGTCCCCCACATTGTCAGCCCTATCCAAGAGACCCCCCCCCCTCCTCCCACTGCCCCTTATTTATGTTATCTGTATGAGTCTGACTATAGTTTGGCTGCTGTTTGTGCACATGATGTGATCATTTGCAGCATTCCACAGTGACAAACGCCATAGCAGCATCTTGGTTTTGGTGCAAGGGATTCCGGCATCATGAGATGTCCCGTTGAAATTTGTATGTTTTTGTTCCCCTCCTCTCTTCTGGGGAGTCTCAGCACACCGCGCCTTGACAGATGACCCCTCTCCAGCAGGTCAACATAGCACTCGGTGTTACTGCCAGCTGTGTATTGTAAGCTTCAGTCGCACAATTTATATTTTCTTAAAAAGAAAACTATTACCAGCAATATATATTAAGCCTTTTTAAAGTAGTTTTAATGGAATTATGAACCATTTTATTTTTCCTCCCATACTTGTATGTTGTAGTACTCGTACTAACAGAAGTCCTTAGTCCTGAAGTATGACCGTGTTGTTTAAACCTGAAGTGGTTGAAACATTATCTCCATTTAAGTGCTGTCTTTGAGCTAAATACTTTTGTGTAGCAGTCCAGTACATGTCACTTTATTACTTTGCTGTGTGTGTGTTACTGTACACACGCCGGGGAAATCTGCACTTCACTTTCACCTATCATGCAGGTTTATAATTTTTCTTTTACATGAAGTGGATTCATGTATTCTGTTATTGCTGTGTGACATGTTCAAATCAGTCAGTTTAAATGAGTAGGATCTCCATAGTCTGCTCGAATAATCACGTGAAAAGCATCTGTGACCTGTCAGCTTTCTTGTTCATGCAATGGTAGTCAGTATAATACCATTTCACCAGCCATAGTGTTGCATCTGTCACGCTTCTGTTTGCTGTTTAACAATAAATGGCTTTAATAAAGGACAGATTCTAGCCAAAGTCACTTTTATTTAACAAATAATGCATGTGGACTGTTTAGCAGAGGTAGAAATGGCAGAAACTCTGACACAGATCTGATGCTTCATACATATTTAAAAATACTTGTCTTACTTTAAACCTAAGTGTTTAAACAGTAGCTGAAACACTCACACCTCAGCAGGATGTAGTTATCGTGACTACAGTTTCTGTCAGAAGTAATCAAACACCTAACAAAAACCTTACGTTATACTTTTTTTTTTTGGGACCAGTCGCCATTAGGTTTCACAGTTTTTACGCAGTGGTCAGAAGTTCAGTGCTGACATGAAGCCGTGTTAATCTATGCACTCAGGAGTCACCTGTAGTCGGAGTAACTCGTCTCCCCTCTGCACCACCATGGTGATGTTGTTGCTGCTGCGCACGGCCTGGTAGATTTCCTCTGAGGTGTTCACCTTGACCCCGTTGATCTCTAACACGATGTCCCCCGGAAGTATGCCGGCTCTGAGAACGAGTATGATAGAAGCAGTCACAAAAGAGCTTTCCTGCCAAAAAATGTAAAGCTTCACCATGTGTGGCCTAAATAAAGACATGCAGGTTTCTGCAAAAAAATAAAAAACAATCTACACAGGGAGATCTCCATTCACCAACTACAAATACATACTGGATATCAAACACGACCTGCCCCCACATGGACAGTGTGAGTTACTCAGGGTAAAACAAACACGGTTTGGGGTTTAGCCTGAAGCCTGACACCCTGTGGCCTGCACTGCGTACCTGTTGGCCGGTGAGCCCATGATGACTCTGTGAATTAGGATGCCGTGCGTCACCTTTGGGAAGGACGAGTCTCTCATCTTTAACTCTTCAATAATGCTGAAATAAACCAAAGAGAAATGCAGCAGCTTTCAAATGAAAAGCTATGCTTTGTTTGCTGCAGTCGCTTCTGATGGGGGGGGGGGGGGGGGGGTGCGTTTACCTGGGCGTCAGCGTCAACATCATGACCCCGATGTAGCGCGCTTTCGTCCCGGAACCTTACACCGATGAGAGAAAAAGCTGATTCATCTGATCTCTTTTGGTTACCTTTGGACAAAAAAAGTGACGTGCAGCTTTTAGTTCTTACTTTTTCTTTGGGCAGCTTGATTAAGGAAAAGTCTGACACGATCAGATGGAATAGCAAATGAGATTCCCGCTGTGACTTTCATGGTGTTGATGCCGATGACTTCCCCATCCTAACAAAAGAAAAAACATCAATAAACAGGATATACACGGTTTGTTGTTGCATTTAAAGGATTCATTTCATGAGAGTAAAAGCCATAATCGCTTTTAAAGTCTCCCTCATTTTGGGTCCAGACGTTAAGAGCAGAATGACCAACAAGATAAAGTAAAACCTTTCTGCTTTTGCTTTAGGCTCTTACTGAAAGAGACTTTAAAACAAGCCCTCCAGCCTCTGCACAGACCACAGAAAATGTCTGGGCGTCGGCTACTTTCTTGCTTGGATGTACTTTGTTATACTCAAAATTAAACTAAAACATCTAATAGGCTAAACTCCATCAGGAGGTGGCTGCTGTATTCTGCGGGATCAGATTATTTTGTCCAGGGTTTTAAATATCCCCACTGAAAACACTTGACAAACTAAACTTGCACAAACTGAAAGTGTTGACAAACAACCTGGAAACCTAAAACTGATGTTGAGAGTTCAGGTTGCTTTCGACCAGCAGCTGAAAGCGTTAACGGGGTTTTTTTTTTAGTTCAAGATAAAGAAAGGAAGTGTGACTCACCAGATTGATCAACGGACCTCCGGAATTTCCAAACTGCAAAAAGAAATGCGTCAGATGTGAGTTGAAGTCACTTACAACAGCAAACCTGCGTCAATCTGTCATCGGCCTACTAAAGTATTATGAAATACTTACATCGATGGTTGCATCTGTCTGTATGTACTCCATGTTGTTGTTGGACAGGCCCAGCTCTTTACTGCCTCTCTGCACCGAGCTGATGATCCCTGACGTGATGGTGTTCCGTAGGGAAAAGGGGCTTCCCATGGCCACCACAAACTCTCCCTGTCGGACGTCAGACGACTGGCCGAGTGCGAGTGTGGGTAAAGGGTTCTGCACAGAAGGAGGGGGCAGCACTTTAACCAAACCTGGAAAAGAAAGCTCTTACCAAACAGAATGGGCATTGATTGATAGTTTTCTACGACCGGTTTTCCCCCATAAGCGACGCAGAGCGGCTGGAGGTCATACCAGCTATAAACGGAACACACGTTTGGTGTTCTTAACCATCCTAGGTTTTTGACATGAAGACCACTTTATGCTTAGCTTTGGTCTCTTTGCGGCAGCAGGTCCAGCTACAAGATGGGCTTTGGATAGTTTTCTCACCCTGGCAGATATTTTGATGGTGGCGATGTCCGCCACTGGGTCCACATCCTGGACCACGGCGTGGTACGTGTCTCCATTGGTGAGCTTCACGCGCACGCCCCTCTTGTTCGCCACGACGTGAGCGTTGGTGACGATGAGGCCGTCGCTGCTGATGATGAAGCCGGAGCCGTTCGACACCGGGACTTCTCTTCCTGAAAAAGGATGTCTGCAAAGCAGCCAAATCAGAGCGTATCACTGGATCTGGAAGTACGTCTTTCATATCAGACAGCTTATTCTGAAAGGAGAACAGAAACGCTAAAAAGGTCTCCCAAAACCTTTCCAGCTTAAAGGACCTTACACTGATGCCTTTTTCTTTACTAAAGGGAACTGTACGGCCATGGTTTGGTCATACACTGAAACTTTAGATGTCTCATAGATAATCATACATAAACATGACAACTATCCATCTTTAGTTACACAGCTTTGCTCATTCTAAAGGAAAATCCATATATAACTTACCACTATCAGAGCCTGCTTTCGCTTTCTATTTTTTATCTGTCAGAGGAGACTTGTGTCACATTTTATAACGGTAGCGTTTGCATTGTTAGGACAATTTTCTTTGATAATGATACAGAAGTAGTTTTACTTTATTAAAACTACTGTGACATGCTGACAGCTCCTCCTCAGACGTTATCTCTGCTCCTCTGTCCACTCACCTGCCAATGATTTCAATGTACACCACAGCCGGAGTGGACTTCTCCACGACATCTGCTATAAAATTGTATCTAAACCGGGGGCTGTCGGGTTTGAAGGGAGACGCACACTGCGCAGACGGCAACAGTTCATAAAACTTAGCGGGGACTCTGAAGTCTCTCCGTTTCTCCTCTCGGCTGTCCCAGAGCGCAGCCCCGCAGAGCCCCAGACCCACCGACACAGACTTCACCCAGGCGGAGCTGCTGCCCTCCCCGCCGCCGCCTCCTCCCCCCGCTGCAGCTCCCCCGTCCAGGCTCCCGCTTCCGCTGTGAACTGTGTCAACGGAGGACACCCGACATACTGTCCTCTCCGCCAAACGGTCAAATCCACGGCTCTGACATCTTGCCTTTGTCCTCAATGCTGACAGAAAACAGCCCCGGACAGCAGTTGCTGCCATGTTGCATCACTCAGTCCCTTTTCAAAGACTTTCAAAGACAGTAATTTGTCACTCTTGGATCAAAATATGTGTAGTAAGAGAAGTATGTCCGTCTCCGAAATGTCCACGCCGTATGTGTCAAATGAAAAAAAAACTGTATGACAAAAAAGATTGACTTCTTGCTCTTTACTCCGCTGAAATGGAAAGCACTTTGACAGGAAATAACTTCGCAGGCGCATGCGCGGCACACAATTTCTTCTTCTGCACGTTTCCTTTTAGTTCAGACTCGACTTTACTCAATAGCGCCGTTTACTGGACAAGAGGTGCAAGGGTGAAACTGTGAGAAAGAGGACAAGTCATTATTCCTGAGATTATGCTTTCAGTTTTGAAAGGGCTGAATAAGAGCTTATCTTTCTTATCGTTCTTTTTCTTTTCAAGGCTGGAAAATGTGTTTTATTTAAATACTTCCTTTATCCCCTGTTTATTTCTATTTATTCATACGAAGTCTAAAGGGACATTGACATTTATACGTTTAGTCTGGATGCATATTATCCGCCTTTGTTTTGCTATTAAACTCAAGTTAAATAAAGTTTTGGGGAAACCTTTTGCGTTCTGAGCCAGTTTCAAACCGCCACCAAACCGGAAAGAGAAAGACAAACGGTTCTTGTTTTGGAGCTACGTCACACGTTTCCAGCCAAAGGCGGCAGCGATGAGGAGTTTGAAATTAGCGGGCTAGCCGTTAGCCTGTTAGCATGTCCGCAGCCATGGCGGCTTACGACTTATCCCGGCGCGCTAACCCGAGCTTCCAGTCGCCTGCCAAGGTGTTTGCCAAGATGAAATCCAAAGTGCAGAAGGAAGCCACGTGCGGAAAAGAGGTTTTTATCGCGAGCAAGGATCCGCTGTGTGAGGTCCGAGGAAAACAAGAAGCCGCTAAGAGAGCAGCGAACATCTGGACGCATACGGAGCTCAAGGAAAACCGGAGGTTGGATTCCTATGCCGACGAAGCCCAAGCTTTGACTTTGTCACCCATATCGAGCCCTCGGAAAACCTTCGATTATACTTGCTCAGACATTAGCAGCAAGCCGCTGGACGTCACTTCCCCCGGGGGTGAATCCATGTGTGGGGGCACCCCGGGAGGCAGAGCTGTCCTGCAGTCAACAGCTGTGGATCACCCCCTCTGCCTGGTCAGCAGAGATCAGACTCGTGTGGTAGACCCGGGTGGCTTTCATGTGTCCAGCAGGACTCCGGTGAACCTACCGCCACTACAGAACTACAGAAAGGATGACAGCGAGTTTGCTCTTCTAAACAAACACAAGCCACTGGTGGCCAGTGTCCACACCCCCATGAGGAACAGGCTGAGGAAGAGGAAATGGGAGCAGCAGGAGGTCAGGAGACCCAGTGGACACACTCCGGGGAGCAAGGAGGACCAAAGTCCAGAGCAAGAAAGAGAAGCCCCAGCTTTAATGGAGGCTTACGGCCACAACAACACCCCCGGGAGGGGTGTAGTTAAGTCCGCTGACCCCTGTGAGAGGCTACACCAACCCATGTTCTCCCCACCGGGATCTGCAGTCCGTAAAGGTCAGTTGTTTTGGGGTTTTTTGTTCTCCCCCAGTTATGTGTTCAGTTTGAAGGTGATGTGGGAAACAACCCTTTCCATGGTTGTTGTTTTTGAACAGGTTGCATTGTCACTTTGGAAAAGTGGCCTACGATGTCCCCGGCCAAAATGTTTGCACTCATGAAGGAAAGGGAGAGCAAAAAGGAGCACCAGGACGCCCTGAACAGCAGCAGAAGGGAGCTCTTTGGTCAGGGTGAGGGAGGAGAACGAAAGCCCCCCACCTCGAGGGGTCCGTTTCTGTTTTGTCTGGGCTGTTTTGATGATAAATCTCTCCTCATTAGGAAACCTTCATCAGTCCAGAGAGACTCCTCTCTCCTCGGCTCATGCTGTGGGTGACGTGGGGAATGTCTCCCCCAGAGCCACTCCTGGAAGAAGGGACCCTGTTCCTGGGTGCGGTGCGGCCTCGGTGGACAGCCGGTCGGTGGCCGACGGCTTGGAGGACGCCGCCATGGCCGCGGCCCCGCCACAGCCACAGCCGGCTCTGGTGGAAGACCCGCTGGTGCTCAACTCTCCACAGATCTCCATACCAAAGATGCGGGGGAGTGTGTTCAAACGGAGTCACTGGCCCAGTCAAAAGAAGTTCCCAGTCGTGAGTACAAACCCGAATTGTGTTGGGCTGCTTTACTTCCACACAGAGCCCTAGTTCAGACAGAGAAATGGTCCTCTGGTCAGTTATATTTTGGGCTACAAATTATGACAAAATGCTCAGGAGTCGAGCAAGTGAGGTCTTGAACATGTTTTTTTTTTTTACTCTGTAGATGTACTGAAAAAAGTTTTTTTTTTTCTTCTTTGACAGGAGAATGTGATTTATCTCAAGAAGTGGTTCTTGAGGAAGAATCATAAGGGCCTGTTTGTTGATGGAATCCACAGGTAAGGCGGTACAGCTAGCTTTAGATGTCTGCATTTCCTTTCATAATTTTTGGACTTCCTTTGAGGTCCTCCTTTTGGATGAGGTTTGATTTTTACATTTGTCTTCATCACCCAGGGAGGAGAACATACCATGGAACAGCAACATCATTGTGGACAGGGTTTCCGGTTCTGTGCTGAAGACCCTCTCAGGCAGGGTTTACATCTTAGTGGGGAAGATGAGGATAGATCTTGCCAAGGGTGAGCTTTTACCCAGGAGGTTTCACTGTGGCCTCCAAAAAGAAACTCGCACTTAATGGGATTGTGTCCTTTTTTAACATCTGTCACCTTTTTTCTCAGATTTCCCAAATTGGCTTTTGAAAAAATTCCTCAACGGTTTTCCTCCCAACTGGAAGGCGCTTTACGAGAGGTTTCTGTCGGAGTCGAGGGAGTGAGTCTTTATTCTGAATCCACGCTCCTGGAGATGAGAGAATAGTTAAGGGGGGGAGTTTCCAATTCTCTCAAGAACTGAAATTATAGTTTGCTTTAGCAGCGGAGCAGAGAGGAGCCAGGACAGAAGAGGAACCGGAGGGAAGAGTGACTCTGAGCCTTCCTCCGTCAAACACTCTGCCAAGAAGCAAAGACAAAATCCCTTTAAAACACGTAAGTACAGCAAAAGTCACACAGCGACCTCGTAGGGCACTGAGTGATGGGTTTTCTTCTCCCATGTCGATTTTCCTCCAGCCGAGTTTCGTCCCCCTGCCGCCTCCTCCTCCTCCTGCTCCGCTACAAGAATGTCCCGAAGCGGGCGCGTCATCAAGCCCCCTCTGGAGTACTGGAAGGGGGGGAGAGTGGTCCTGGACGCCCAGATGAACGTCACCATCCACGAGGGCTACGACACCTCTAAGTCTGTAAGCGCCTGCCTCTGGGGTCCGCAGCGAGGGGGCCGGTGGGTCTGACCACGACCGGACATATGAAATCTGTCTGTGCCTTTCGCAGGAAATCTCCATCATAGCTTCTCCCAGGACGACGCAGAGGCCGGCTCGTGTCTTCCTGCCCAGCAGCGAGGGTAAACCCGTCCCGAGCTGTAGTTCCAGCATCGGAACAAGCCACAGTGTCGTGGCTGACCGCTCTCTGTACCACTCAGGCCGGATGGCGAGCGGCTTAGTCTCCGAGGGGGACGCTCCGGTTCCGGCTAAGAGGGTCGGGGCCCTCAGGAAACGGGAGAAGGCCGCCATCCCGTCGGCCGTGGAGGTGCTGAGCGGCAGCAGCCCCGAGCAGTGGTGTGGCCGGGTGACGCGGTCCAGCCAGTGGCGGCCAGGCCCCACTTCGGAAAGAGCATCGCACATGGACGCCGCCCCACAAACGCAAAAGAAACCCCGGATCCCTTCAGCGAACTCCCCCGAACGTCCTCCGGCTAAAGGTAAAACGGAGCGGCCGTCATCCGGGGACGAACCCCCCAGAAGGAAAGGGAGACAAAGCCGAAGGGCACACAAGGGGGCGAAGGTCCAAACACCGTCCCCAGGCCACAAGCCTTCATCCTGCAAGCCAGCGGAGTCCTCTCAGGGGGGCAGGAAAGCTTCCAGGGAGAGGAGCGCCGCCACGAGAAAGAAGGCCGGGGCCCGAACGCAGCCCACGGGCAGCAACGGAGCCCAGACGCCGCCGCCGGCCGAGCCGCCGCTCAGACCCAGGCTGAACAGCAGGAAAGACCCGAGAAAAAGCAGCACGGCCCGGACCCCGGAGCCGGAGGGAGACGAGTGGACGCAGGCAGAGCTCCTGAGGCTGCGGGAGTAAGACCAGAGTCGCCCGGACGGAAGAGATATTTGTTGTTTAGTTTTTTTGGGTAACGCGGCGTCCTCATACCATGTCGCTGTGCCGCTGCTTTTCCAGGGCTGTGGCCTGCTATCCGAAGCACCTCCCGGCTTACTGGGCCAAAGTAGCCCGGATGGTGGGGACGCGCTCGGCCGAGGAGTGCCACCGCCACCACACCTCTCCGGGGACGGCCGAGACGCCGGCCAAAAAGCCCAAAAGCCGCGGAGGGGAAAAAGCCTCCACGGCCAAAGCGGCGGGTAAGACCCCCGTCCCCCGCCTGGGACCCAGACTGTGTTCCCGGGTTTGTTCAGAGCAGGGGCGTCAAACCCCAGTCCCGGAGGGGGGGCCGCTGTCCTGCAGGTTTTAGACAGTTTTCCTGCTTCTGCACACCCGATTTAGATTAAATTGGATCTCCTCTGGACATTGTGGAGCTTTGCACCAGCCTGCTAACGGCATTTTGATGAAAATCGGGTGTGTTGAAACAGGGACGCCTCTAAAACCTGCAGGAAAGCGGCCCCCTCCAGGACTGGGGTTCGACACCTGCGGTTTAGAGCCTGCATAAAGGGAAGAAGATGAATATGAAGTCTTTGGGATTCAGAAAATACTTGGAGGAGGGTACTTGGCTTCTGAATGTGTGACCCGTTGTGTGACCCGCAGCAGTTGCAGAGTGCCCAGTGATCTCCGCCCGGGCGGGAACCCTGAAGCGAAAGCAGCAGGTGCGGCAGTTCCTGGAGGCTCTCCCCAGAGAGGACGTGGACGATGCCTTCAGCTCGGCCTACATGCAGCACAAACGCTTCGAGGTTCGTCCGGCGCTCGCCTGGCCTTTTCTCGAGACGAGGGGAGCGCTTCCCTTTTTAACCTCTCCGGATCCGCAGATCCCCTCGCTGTGTCCGAGCGACGATCAGGACTTCCAGCTGTCGGAGCTGGAACCCCAGACACCCGTGTCGTCGTGTTTCCCAGAGGTGAAGACTCCACAGTGTCTGCACATCACCCCCGGGATGATGGGCTCCCCAAATACGTAAGAGTCTGACTCCAACAATCTGATTTGTAACAGAAAGTAGCAGGGAAAAAATGCATGACTTTTTCATTTTTCTCCTTGTTTTTAAAGCAATAATGACGACAAATATGTGTACCAGCTGCAGAAGAGGATGAAAAAGAATCAGTTCGATGTCCGTAAGAGCTCACCTTCTTCAAAGGTAAGGCCTTCCAAAAGGACGTGGCTTTCACTTCCGTCATTTCTTTAGCTTCAGTATTTTTGTTCTGTGTTGTTAAGGCTCTTTTTTTCCCTCTGTGTCCTTTTAGAGGTTCACGCCCACTCCATCAACAAAACAACCCGTAAAAAGAATTGCTAACACAGGTTGGTATCCCGTGCGGTCCTGCGCTGTGTCTAAAGGAAAGGGAAATGGTTCTCTTATTCTAGCTTTATTTGTAATCTCAGTTCTGCATCGGGATCATTTGTATAAAATCATGTCAGGGATTTTCTTGGGGAAATCATTGTGTGAATATTCAATTAAAGTTATAGAATACTGCAAATTTCTGTACTATTCCAGAACTTTAGGCTTATTTAAGAAAGAAAATTAATAGGTAGAAAATTCATATTTTAATATTCATTAATATTTTCTTACACCTGCAAGCTATTTTGTGGCATTTTATTCTGGGTTGAAAAAAAACACCAAACTGTACCATTAAGAGAAATTGGTCAGAAATCGTTCATTAAATTTCAAAGCTTAGATCTTTCTGTCTTTCTTTCTCCCCCAAGGAAATGATGCGTTTGTCATTTGGGAGATGTTCCCTGGAAATGAGGAGGTGCTATCTGAAAGCGGAGAGGAAGAGGATTTCTACTTCTCCGATGACTGAGTGGACTCCGAGCTGAAATGGAATATCACTATTTTTAACAAACCCAAATGATTGAAACAAAACGTAGCCAAGTCCTGAATCACACTATAATCACCTATATAAACAATAAATTTGGCAGGATTAAAAAACACTTTAATTTGATGCAGCCTGGTGCTCCTGGTGTCCACCAGCTCCCTGTAAATATAGTTTTTGTTTTAAGTCCTTATTCCCAGATCAGTTGTAATTAGATTTTTAATAAATCCTTTTTTTTTTTAAAGACTGATTGTGTTTGGACCAAAACCGCTGTACATACTATGAACACATTTATACAAATCTCACAGTTTGTTATATAAAACTGTTTAAGATGACCAAGTTTAGTATGTAGATGTGTAGATCCTCGAATTTCAATCAAAATAAATTTGTTGAGGGATATTGTTTCTTCACGTTGACTTCAGGGATGGAAAATTTGATCATTTGAAGTTGTGTCCTGTAAAATGTAACTGAAGACAACTTTTCTTTCATAAACCAGTTTAAATATATTCAACTTGGAAGGTGAATGGGTCCAATGACTTTAAAAGTAATCAATCTTTGCAAGCTACAAAATGAAGAATATGTTACACTTTGTTTTTCCCTATAAAACAAATTCCTACTACTAACTAAAGGCCAAAGTGTAGAATAGATTGGCTGGTTCTGGCTTGTTTTCACTTTTGCTGCGTTTACAAAATTAAACCAGTGGGTCAAGTTTAAGGAAAGACTTACGAGATTTGAATCTCACTTTTTCATAATGCTAACTTTTTTGTGGCAGATTCCTGAAACAATACCTGATGCTTTGGATCGGCCTTATAAAGCAGAGAGGGACGTTTTAATGTAATAATGAATCATCCAATTCTGACATATCGTTTTGAGTTAGGCAATGTTGAAAAGGTAAATAGCTCAAAATAATGTTTTCCCTTATAAATTCATTCAGGGATACACAAAACAAAACAATCTAGTCTATTTGGTGCAACAGGATTTATAAGGTTTGGTTTCATTTTAACTTTAATTTGGGTTTGTATCTTAGGTGATTGGGAATATAACACCTACAACGTATAAGAAATAGTATGGTAAGATAATTATGAAAAAGGTCCGCTTGAAATTGGAATCAATGTGGAAATGCAATCAAATTGAGTTAGCGCTCGATCTCTGAGTTGAGGTGGTTAGTGGACAGTTTCTTTAGAGACTTCAAATGTCAACGTGACAGCCGAAAAATGCTTTCTGTTGTCCAACCAAAGCACGAATCTAACTCCAAACCACAGCCATAAATCTGTGTAAAAATGTTAACAGGGTAAAACGGTGTTCAGTACAAAGGACACGCGCGTTTGTGGCGGATATCTTATGTACTGATCACGTGAGTAGAGATCACGTGACTCCGGCGTTTACTGTATATCAGCCTGTTCACTACAGACACTCACGCGCTGACTGGAGAAGGACGAGGACAACATGAACACACTGTGAGTGTTTTTTTTGGGAGGGGAAACTAACTTCTTATATTCACGATGGAAACAGTAAGGGGTCCTTTCGGCTATCGTCAGAAAATGTTCAAATCAATGTTGTTGTTGCGGGTTTTAGTTTCCCTTTGTGATGACCCTCATGAATAGCTGCTGCTAACGTAGAAAATTGAAGCGTTAATGTGACGTTAAAGGTCCTAAAACCACTTACTTTTTTTTTTTACCATTGTCTACTTAAATGTGGTAAATGGCGCTTTTGCTTTAAATGTGACCTACTTAGCTCTAAATGAAAGCTTGTGACATGGTGACCCTGAAATACAACCGCTCTGTGCAGGTTTTCTCTAAACTTCCGGTTCGGTTTAGATTGGATACTTTTCTTCCCAGGTGTAGTTTCTGAGCTACAGTCATATTTTCTTTCCCTCCAACAGACTACCCTTCTCCGTCTTATTGCTGGTCTCGTTAGCCTGGAGTGGATATCTCGAATATGATCAAGATGTCCTGTGAGTAACATTTTAAAGCCATTTCCTTCCTCCTCCTGTCTTTATCTTGAAATTATATAAAATAAAATAAACTTTTTTAAAGCCCGGATCTTTCTTGCCTGTTTAGTGCTGTCGAGCGGCTTAACTATACCGATATGTGGTAAACTTCTATTCATCCAAATTATTTGAAAAGGGGTCTTTGTAATGGTCAAATTCTGCTTTGAATTGACATAACGCCTCCTGATTTGCTCCATATACAAAGCCATGCAAAAATCCATTAAAGGTGGGTTAGCTGGTTATCTGTGAGGATTAGAATTCCACCATAAAGACTGGTTACTTTAAACCTGTTTTCAAAAGCATATATGAACTACGTAGGTGTGACAACTCTTTTATTAACGCCATGTTAATCTAAAAGTTGTCACATTTATTTTGTGCTTCTGAAACGTTTCTGCTTACTTGTATGATCATGAATCTGTTCGTGTTTTCCTGCCTTTTTCTCAGCATACCCAAGGACTGGACCCACGTTGGTCGAGTTGATCCATCGGAGGAGCTGCAGCTGACCTTTGCCCTGAAGCAGCAGAACGTTCAGCTGCTGGAGGAAATGGTCAGACTGGTGTCAGACCCCGATTCAGCTCAGTATGGTGGGGCTCCGGCTGCATTACGCAAAAACACAAACAAACAATTAGATTTATTACATTAGATGGAACTTTATTACTAATAAGCCCATTTTGACTTTATTTCCCATTCTTTTTGGTGCAACTTACTGAGTCACAGAGGTCTGATTTGCCATCCGCAGGTAAATATCTCAGCCTGGAGGAAGTGGCTTCACTTGTGCGTCCATCGGAGCTCTCCCAGAAGGCGGTGCGTCACTGGCTGCAGAGACACGGGATTTCAAACTGCTCCACCGTTCGCACTCAGGATTTTTTGCAGTGCACCATGACTGCAGAGTAAGCTAATCTTTTTTTGGGTTACATTTGTTCTGCTTACTCAGCTCTCTTGGAGGAACAGATAAGGCTTGGAGTTACTTTTGAGACATCTTAGGAGTTCCTAAGAGACATAAATCTTGTGAAAAGGCTGCGCTATACTCTTGAGACATACTTCCTCTTTGCGTGGTTATAAAATCACATTGTGCTGCATAGTGAAGTTCATAAATCTAGGTCAGAGTAACTGTAAAAAAAAGAAAAAGATATTGTTATACTGGCTTCACAAAGGAGATTTGAGTGGCGCAAGAGAAGTTAGGTGCTTCAGCTGAATAGTTTCTTTTGATTTGATTGATTATATCGGCATGGCGATGTGGAAGAGACTTTGTCATCATTAAGGCTCTGATTCTTTCTTGTCCAAAGGCTTGCAGAGACTTTACTTCCAGGGAGTAAGTTCCATCGTTATGTCAGAGATGGTCGTTTCCTAGTGAGGTCGTCGGCTCCGTACTCTGTCCACGATCACGTTCACCAGCACCTCGATTTTGGTGAGCACCTCTCCCTTAGCCAGCGTGTCTTTGGATTCAGTGTATTCATGTTAGGATCATCTCTGACACTGATGCTTTTGCACTTCAGTCGGTGGGCTTCATCGTGTCCCACCTAAGGAGAAGGACCTTAAAGGGAAGCGACAGCCGGGTAAGGCAGGTGTGCACCTCGGAGTGACTCCGGCCATCCTGAGGGCTCGCTACAATCTGACAGCAGCCGATGTGGGATCTGTTCAGAACAACAGCCAGGCCGTGGCCCAGGTACGACCCGCTTCTTTTGCGCCAAATCCTTCGATTTTACCGTTCGACACGAGCGTTTGCTCAGATGCTGTGATCTGATCCGCCTTTGCGTGCCTTCAGTTCCTGGAGCAGTACTACCACCCAGCCGACTTGGCCGAGTTCATGAAGATGTTTGGCAGCAGCTTTCAGCACCTTTCTCAGGTGGACAGAGTTGTGGGCACTCAGGGAGTAGGGAAGGCCGGCCTGGAGGCCAGTCTGGATGTAGAGTACATCATGAGCACCGGAGCGAACATTTCCACCTGGGTCTTCACTAATCCAGGTCTGTATCCATCTGTGTGTGCAGGCCCTGTCATATTTTTATATCTAGTCTAAGTTTATACGATAACGGTAGCACACAAGATGAATAAAAAGCTACATCTTCAATTTTGTGACAAAAATATAAAACGTATGGCTAAAATAGCCACCAGCCGAAATGAACTTAAGTAGCCAGTTTCAGTCATGTCAAGCAAGTAACTGTTAGATCAGGAGGCATAAAATGTGAAGTAAACCTTTTCTGTACATAGGGTTTGTGACTGATTAGGACATTCTGGCCACTCACTGGTGCGTCATTCTTCTCTTTCCTGCTTTGACTTTCTGTTCCCTCCAGGTCGTCACGAGTCCCAGGAGCCCTTCCTCCAGTGGATGGTCCTGCTCAGCAATATGTCAGGCCTGCCCTGGGTTCACACCATCAGTTACGGGGACGACGAGGACAGCTTGTCCACGGCCTACATGATGCGCATCAACACGGAGTTTATGAAGGCCGGTGTCCGGGGGTTCTCGCTGCTCTTTGCCTCTGGTCAGTGTTGGTCTGCAGAACTCTTCCAAATAACTCAAACATCAATCGTAGAATCATTCAACAACATAATGAAAAATTAAAAAAATCGCAGAAACACGACAACGAAAAGCAGCCTGGTCACCCGCTACATTATTCCTAATCTCCCCGATGGGGTGTTATTTTCAGGCGACAGTGGCGCTGGATGCAGACACATGGGCAAAGAGAACTCTTTCAGGCCCAGCTTCCCTGCGTCAAGGTAAATCTGCAGTCTCAGAGTAAAAGTGCCTCTACGTGCATAGAGTTGCTTAATGTTGCTGGTCCGATAATCACAAAAGCAATGTAGGAAGTGGGGGGGCAGAAAAACAGTCGATGCCTCTAAAATATCTGTGGTGTCTTTTTCCATCAGCCCATATGTGACTACGGTGGGTGGAACCTCATTCAAGAACCCATTCAAAGTCACCTATGAAGTCACAGATTACATCAGCGGAGGCGGTTTCAGCAACGTCTTCGACACCCCCGACTACCAGGTGCTGCCGGGAGCCCGTCGGCTCCGTCGTACCGGGTTATCCATCGGCCTGTTTCTCTACGGATACCATTCGTTGCAGATATCTGATACACGTCTTTTGGCATTTGTGTTACTCAGGCCAGTGCAGTGGAGGGGTACCTGAAGAGCGTGGCAGCAACTCTCCCTCCTAAGTCGTACTTCAATACCAGCGGCCGGGCCTACCCCGACATGGCTGCCCTGTCTGACAACTACTGGGTGGTCAGCAACAGGGTGCCCATCCCCTGGGTGTCTGGGACCTCGGTAAAATACACCAAACATGAATACAATTTTTCCCAACCATCCAAGTTAATTGAGTTATTTAAAAAACATAAAGAGCACTTCATTCCATTCGATTTCCGTAATCAAAACTAAATCCAGGACAGTATGGCTCTACTGGAACTTCATCTTAAATTCAGCTTAAGCCCATGGTTAATATAAAAAATGTAAATAAAATTAAAAAAGGAGTAAGGGGTGGTTTCAGGTGAGGTATTAAGCACATTTTGTACAGAATTAGCATCAGTCATTACATTTTCAGCTGTTCTGGAGTTGAACCTGTGGTTCTCGTGATTTACTCACCCCTCCAGGCGTCCACCCCTGTGGTCGGAGGCATGCTGTCCCTCATCAACGGCCAGCGTATGTTGAAGGGTCTGCCCGCCCTGGGCTTCCTCAACCCCCTCCTCTATAAGCTGAAGGGCCAGGGCCTGTTTGATGTGAGTTGTGGCTGCTGTAAATCTCTTGAACACTGTTAATCCAAAGAAACCGGCTGAAAGGTCAAAGAAACAGCATGTTCTAGCGCAGACTGGGCTCAAAAGCTTGCATTCTTGTGTTCAGGTGACCGAAGGCTGCCACCTGAGCTGTCTGGATGAGCAGGTTCAGGGGAAGGGTTTCTGCGCCGCACCTTCGTGGGACCCCGTCACCGGCTGGGGAACGCCGAACTACCCGGCACTGCTGGCCGCCCTCTTAACCGACTGACCGGTAGAATCCGCCTAAGTCTGCTCTGAGAGCAGGTACAATACGAACATCAACTCTCTTATTATCAGGTGCCTGTTGCCAAAGGCCGGACAGAGGATTTGCATTTACTGCTTCTGTTTTATTTCCAATACGCGAAAATCTATCTCAAGGACTGCCATCGACCCTTTATGTCCATTCAAGAATAGCACCAACCCAGGGACACTTTTACTTTGAAGACTTTAAACTGTTAAAAATAATTTTAGGTCAGGGATGACGGTTTAGGACTCTCAATGTTAAACTGATCTTGCCTCTTCTTGCTGATCACTGCATTTTTACCGACCCAGATCTGACCACAAGCCTGAAAAACGGGTTTTACAGGAATCTCATGCTTTGAAAACGACTCAGCGGTGATCTTCAGGGTTGGTCGACCCGTGCTATGCATAAATGAAGATAAACATAAGAATAATAGAAATGTGCACCAATCATCTGTTTGATATGCATCTGTCTGGTTTTGACATTGAAGGCAGTACTGACGCACTGATTGAGGAAATTAAGGATGTAAGCGATGAGAGATGGATGTTTTCCATGTCTGTTTTACCAGGACTCAACTGGGATGAGCTAGGAACTGTTTTCATTCACAAACATGTCTGCATGCCGTTTTAATAAAGCCATTTATGTATTTTAAATAAATACAGATCTCATGGATTTAAAAAAAAAAAAAAACTTTCCAAACTAGACGTAACTTTTGTTTATTTGCAGCCGTACAAACAAACTAAGGTGTGGGGCTCGGAATTCCTCGGCAGCACTGCCCAGTTGCATTGTTGCACTTCTTTTTTTCAAACTCCTTAAAGCCAGAAATCACGTTTGATTGAGAGTGACTGCCTGTATGTGTGGGTTTTTGAGTGCATTAAAGTGGTTTAAAATAAACAAGCTTCATGGTGCTGTGTGCTGCATGTTCTAAAATAAATTAGTAGGAACACAAGCTTACATGAACTACCGTAATTGATTTTTTTCCCCAACAAAAAATTGGGCAAATATTTCACGTGTACATCCTTAAAACAATATGCTGGAGGTTGTAACTTTTGGTAGCATAAGTAACTTCTCTTCAAACTGTTTTCACTATCCTGATAATAAATATACCAAATTATTTGCCAGCAAATTACTCAGTGAAGTAGCCCCGAAAGTATAGAGAACCAACAACATAAGACTTGAAAACAACAAACCCAACTTGATCTCCAACGTAAATGCTGACGTGCCCTTTGATTTTTCACTTGGTTTTTAAAATAAGCACTCAATTGTAAACATACCAGCTGCAAGATGTTTCTTTGAGACTTTCAATGAGCTGTCTGAGCAGCAGTACGCTAAAGACATCAAGAATGGTTCTCAACTTCGCTTCCTAATTTATCAAATCGAAAGAGGAAATGTAGATTTCAGTAGTTTCCCCACACATTGGTGTAGCCTGTGAAGTCCCTCTGAATTTAAAAAAAGAAAAGCTGTGTACTATTTAATCAAAGTTTTAAATTAAGAACAGCTCTGCAAGTACATGAATAACACACTATTCTGGTGGTGCACTGGGAAAAAAAACATTTTAATCATTTATCACTATTGAAAATCACATGGCTATTACTACATGATTCTGATATTCCATTGTAGAAAATGAAAAAATGCAAAGATCATTCAATCTTCTCATCAAAAAACAGTCCTATGAAGGAGAAAGAGGGGCTGTAAAACAAACTGAAGCCTCTTCCAGGAAGACCTACAACAACCTTGATACTCACATGACCACAAAGCTTATGCTGAACAGTGTACAATATGCACACTTCAGAGGGTAGGGTACAAAATTGAAAAGCTGGAACTGGTGGGGATCGATGCAAATTTGAACAATTTGCAAAAACTTCTTTTTTTTTTTTTTTTAAACAGACCGCAGCAGGTTATAAATAAGTTTATCTTTTTCTTAGGAACAGAGCCATGAAATAATGTCTTCAAAAGAAGAAACCGTAAAACGTTCCATCCAAAGGGAGAGGCCGGGCCAAAGGGGGTGAGGATGTCACAAGATTCCACAAGTTCCTTGGACAAACCTCGTATTCGTTATCAAAATTTTTCTTCTGTTCGGATCTTTCGTTTAGAGGCAATACAAAGGGACCAATCGGACAACAAAACAGGCCGTAGAACATCAGTCTGTTGAGGAGCGGAGACGGGGGCCGGATCCTCCGGCTCTTTCGTCACGGCCAACTCACTGATTATTTTTAGCTTTGGCGTGTGTGAGGATGTGAGACTTCAGGTTGGTTGACTGGGCAAATTTTTTGTTGCAGCCGTCAAAGGGACACACGTAGGGGCGGTCTCCAGTGTGAATGCGCACGTGCGTGCGCAAATTAAAGTCCAGAGAAAACCGTTTCCCGCAGCCCTCGAACGTGCACTGGAAGAGAGAGAGCGAGTTAATGGTGTGGCCCACCCTGAATCACAGAATCTACAGCCAGCTGGTCACATGACAGGCAGCAGAGTAACCACCAAACTACAACGCCATTAGCCTTTTTAATACCTTTGAGGGAAACAAATGTTCTCTAGAATCAGGAATCTAAGCAGAAAGTGACTCACCTGGAAAGGTTTTTCTCCTGTGTGTACAAGCTGGTGCCGCTTTAGTTTTGAGCTCTCCACAAATGCTTTGCCACACTCTGCACAGACGTGCACGCGAGGCCCGTGAGTGTGCAAGTGTTTCCTCATCGCCGAGTTGTCCCTGAACATCTTGGTGCATCCCTGGCAAGTGCAGGCGTTGTGTTAAGATCACCGTGAAGCATTGCTAATGCAACCCCATTCTTCAAGATGTTAGAGTCAAGATTTGGGATACAAAACTACACACTTACTTTGTGTGGACAGGCTATTGTCCGAGGTGCGTCGTCTTCTTTTACTTTTCTTGGCTTCATACTAAAATACAAATGTATGCGGTCTCGTTATCATGCGTCGAAGCAATTTTCATAAACAAATCAGGCACTACACAATCATTAAATGCTGCTTTATCCAACTTCCTTTATTATCATTGTCCAAAACCACAAATTGAGGCTGACAACGAAATGTCGTTGCTTGGATACCGGGTACAGCGAGGTCTGTATGTAATATCTCGTGAATTTAAATATTTATCAAAATGTATTATATGTGAGCACTTACCGTGCAAACTCTGCCAGCTGCTTGGGATCTGATAGGTCAATACCCGGGATGCCCCCAGGAGGAAGCTTCTTTCCAGTCATATATTCTGAATAATCTGGAGGAGAGTTTTCCCCTGTGATTTGCTCCTCGTGATCTATGTCCTTCTTGTCATCTGCATGGAAGTGGAAGAGTTTTGAATAAAGTCTCTTATCTCTAGTAGAGATTAAAAAACAACAACTTTAGTAGCACTACTAACAAAAGGTCTTTGATAACCATGTGATGCCTAAAAAAATAAGAACTCTGGGAAATAACATTAGTAATTGGTACGTGTTTGAATCTATTCTTTTATACGTTTATTTTTTTCAAAGTATTGAAAATAGCAAAATAGCAACGTTTACCTACATGACCGTTATTCCGTAAATGCATTGCAAATGCAGAGATATTGAACTTTAACAAAATCCTTAAAACCTAAAGTTGTTGAATTTAAATCACCACTTGCTAAAGTTATAGTAAAACAACACTTCCATTCATTGTATTTACAAAAACCCCGAACAAGTTATGTTTGCGTGACTTTTATATCTACGGAAAATCCGAGGGGCCCCTGAAGGCACCGCTGCCACAGTGGCTGTTAACTGAACTGCGCCACAGCGGCCTAGCGGAGCTACCTGCACTCGCTCCCACAGTAGCCGCCATCTTCGTCGGCCAAATAAACGCCATTTTTTCGGGCCGCCATACTTTCTACACCGGGGAAATATGGCGGCGCCCATCGACACATAAAACATGGCTACCCTTAAAAACAAAAACATTACAAAGGGAGTTTAAGTGGCTCGAGATAGGGAAAAGAGTCCGACTTGAGCGGAAGACAAGGCCCCAGCCAGGCCCCCGTCCCACGACACACACGCTGAGAACAAAGCGACAAACCAGCTTGCAGGAATTCACTTAGGACTCTACACTTACCCGATGCCCACATAGTAACAGAAAATTCTCCCTCCAACGTCTTTATCTGGACTTGTTTCTGTTCCCATTTTCGCCCTATGTCTCCCCCGCTTAGGTAGCTCTTTTTGCCCGCTTTCTTCCCGCTTCCACTCTTCTTCATCCGGCCCGTTGACGAGCTTTTCCCAGCAACAGTAACCAGAGTCTGTTCGATATAGTCCTCCTCCACAGCAGGCACCGGGATAAGGATTTGGTCTTCAAAACCGTCGTCCGTATGCAGTTCAGAGTCATCCTCGCCAACCACCTCTTCTCTTGTTTGCACCAAAATCACCTCTTGGTGCGGGTGAATCGAGTTGGGATCATCGGTGTCAAGAGGCTGCAGGGCGATCATAGGCTGGTGCTCCCCGTCATCTCCCACAACTGTCGTCTCGATTGTCTCAACTTCGATTTCGTGCAGTTCAACTATTTCTGCAGGCATCTCCGACCCATCCGTTTCTATGTACAGGGTGTCCCCCGATGCCATCATGAGTTCCGTATGTCTTCTGACTTCTGCTCTGTCGTACACACTTGTGCTCGCTCCTGCCTACTGCCTGGCTTCCGCCTCCCTCGCCGACAACAACTCTCTACAACTGTACTCTCGCCGCCACAATGCTCTAGATTTGAAGTCTCGCGTGATTTGGATACGAGTTTTCATTAAGAACTTGGGATGTTTATGCTAAAAAAGATGTTAAATTAATTCTGTAACAAACCTTGCGATACACTAAACATATAATATTGATTTCAATTATTCCCTTAAATGATTCTTGTTTGGTTTAATCAAATAGAGCGGTGACTAAATCAAACAAACATCAAGTTACTGTTCCAAACTAACAGAACTGTACAGAAAAATTAATATATTTCTTCCAAAAGCAACAATGCTTTTAAAATTATTGTAATTTATTCCTCATTAAATTATGTGAGCAGCATAAACAGAATATACATATAGCATATTATAATTTTAAAACTTTCTTTAGTTTTGGGTTTATACCCTACTTGTTTATCCATTTATATGGTTCATTAAGGTGTATTTATAGATTATAGGATATATGCATATAGAAGGGATTTCATTCCATTTTGAATTGCAATGACATTGTTCAAACATCTGAAACTTCTGCAAATAGTTTTGTTTGATTAATGGTTTCAGGCTTCAGCTTCCAAATCTCAACAGAAAAGAAAACTTGTCATCTAAATTCACCAACTACAATAAGGTTTTTTGTATTTTGTTTGAATTTTTAAAAAGAATATTAACAACAAGTATATTGTAAAAATGCCCCTTTTATTTATTCAATTCAAAAGGGATTGATGAAAAAGTTGTCTCTGTGTAAGTCTTTTTCTTATTCTGCATCCTCATACACATGAGGAAACACACACATAGTCAAATGCGATAAAACAGTTAAACGAGTTGTTATTGAACACTGTTTGTTAGTGAGATATTCTGTCGTCGTGTAGTCTTAAAAAAGAAAACTCACTTTGTCTCCAGCAGCGACATCTTGGTCGTTTAAAGCCAGAGGATGCGGGAGGTGGCAGCACTACGTAATCACTTAATGGAAACCTCCCCCCGGAGGAGAGGAGCGCGCACCGGGGCAGGTGTGCCGGCCCCTCCCTCCTTTGGCCCGGGGGAGGAGCTGAGGTCAGGGCTCTCTGTGGTGAAGTGAGCAACCTGTGCGGGTGGGTGTGCCCCCACGCCGGGAGTCTGATGACACGCAGCGCCGCTCCGCCACTTACTGCGTTCAGTCCCAGAGAGGAGAGCCATGGGGAAGACAGGTGGAAGAGGAGACTTTGAATGGGTCTACACTGACCAGCCGCACACTTCCAGAAGAAAAGAAATCCTGGGTGAGATCAGTGGAATATTAAATATATATCTTTTAAATTAAGACTTGCCGGATCCAGCATTTCCATATCTTATTGGCTGAGTTAAAGTTGGTGTTAATTTCCTGAATATACCATAGCCGGTTAGACCTGTTTCCTAGCTGTTGCCTAACAAGCTGTCAGTCCACAATGGATGCAGGGAAACGCCGAGTGATACACCCGCTGAGATCAAGCCGGCCTGACCCACTTTGCAAGTAAAGTTGATTTAGGTACGAGTGGAAATGGCGTTAAAAATGACGTTTAAAACATAAGATAATAAAAACCGACATAAAAAAAATCTTAACTAGATATCAGTGTATTGCAGATCGATGGGAGTGACAGTACAACGTGGTGATAGTGTAAAACTAGAACTTTGAAGGTAATTTCTTATCATATAACATTAATCAGTCTCAGTTTTCCTACTCTTGAGAATGACTCGGGGCATTTACACGAGAAAACAATGTTTTCACGGTTTTTGGAAAAAGTTCCCCTGTTAGAAAGCGGGAGCCTGGATATCAGCAGGATTTTGAAATGGACTTGGTTTCTTTACCACATTCCACCCATGTCAGGACAAAAGTATGTTGAATTGTGGCTACTAAGATATGAGGAGGGGCAGTTAGTCAGACTGAGGCTGTTAAATACTGAAAGATGAGTTTAATTTAGGCTAAAAGCCCCTCAAAACCACTCTTTAGAAAGAAAAAAAAAGATGCAACTCTTTGTCCCCTGAGAAAAGTCACAAGACAACAGCAGATGCAGGTGACAATGCCTCCAGGCTCACTTGGTAACAAGACACATTCTCTGCTCAAGAGAAGCTCACGTTCAGTTATGAATCCAGTAAAAGCAGTTGGTGGAGTTTGAGTGGACTCCTCAAAAACAAGTGTTTTTCAAAAACAACCTTTTGATTCAGTATGTATCATATTTGATTGATTCCTGAGACCTGTTGCATTATAGTGTACAGGAAAATGTGCAGAAAATATTCATTTATTTAGATTTAAAGAAAGCATGTAGATGATATTTGTTTCCTTAGCTTTGTAATACATTTGTTTAAAAGTAAAATGCAGAGAACAAAGTTATTTTTCATCCGTTTCATTTTAGGTCAGGCTTTATGGGGTTAGAATCGTAATGATGATGATGATGATGACGATGATTCAGGGTTATCTTTTCAAGCATCATCAAGCTGTGTAAAATAATCCTATTTGACAGTCTGACGTATGGTGTAATTCAATACTGAACAGTTTAGCCGAACAAGACGGACACCTGTTGACACCCGGTAGATCCTGGCTTTGTCCAGCCGTCTCGTGGTCGCTCTGGTGTGAAACGAGCTCTGTTGATGCTCACTTGACACCGTCAATTCATGAATTATTAATCTGTTTTTCTTGAAACAGCCTGTAACACCCGTGAGAGGAGAGGTTAAAGACGTGTGTATCAGAAGTTCCTCTCTGTGTGATAATAGAATGTTTGGACTGATAAGGGGTTGGGGATATTGAGGGACATCTAGGGGCATCTAGTTGTAGGCTCAAGGACTCTGATTCCAGCCATTACAGTAGCTGTAAGGTTAAATGGCTAAGATTTTTTTTCCCAATTATTTCTTTCAATGATTTTTAAAAATTTCTTGTTAAGTGACATCTCGTTTTGATGTTTAGCATCCAGCAAAGACTCCAGTAATATGTCAGTTGAAACCTGAGACTGAAAGGGATGTGGCAAATGACCACTTCCCTTGTCTCTCACACTTGGTGAAGCTGAATAGTTTTCTCTGAGCCTTGAGTTACAGCATTGTTTAGTTAGCTTTTTTTTATGGAGTCTGGTTATTCATTTAACTTTATGACTTGTAGGTGGGCTACACTAAAATTATCCAAGCGACTTCAAATGCTACATAGTGGAAGATTTCATATCATGCGATAGGATTAAAACAAACAGTAAGGCTTATGTTCATTTACGCTAGGTAGATACTTTATGAAATGTGAGGGAAGCAGTATGTTAGTGAGTTATTTAAAAATAACCAGCTTGGCATCAGCTGGGATGGGGACAATTAAACCGCAGAAAAGTCACCAAAACTGGTTTTCATTGTATTTCAATTTTTATTTCCCTGAGAGGAGCTGAATTTTTTTTCCATTTGCATAGAGGCATTGCAGATGGACACAAGCAAAGTAGCCTGCCTGATTTGCATGACATCATTGGTTTTAAGCGTGTTCACAAAGTGCCCCACCTGCTTTGGTGAAACTCTCCCTCTGTTGGACGTGGCCCCTGACTTTCTGGGATCCGTGTGGTGTCGTCAGAGTAACAGATCTGAACCGGAATCTCCTAATGAGGGGATTATATTGCATAAAGAAAACTCAGAGAAGCTGTTGTGACGACACCTGTTTTGTGAACCACTCCCTCGTAGCTACCCTTGTTTCACGTCCCCCTCAGAAAAACAACACCTTTGCCAATTAAACATGACTTTTATCAGCAGATTTCCCAAGAGAAGGCGGGGTATCTTACAACATGGGAAACGGACATTTTACAGCCCTTGGAAAATAACAATAAATGATCCCGGCTGGCTCCATGACAAATGCATATCCGTCTATATACAGTAATTAAGATTAGTGTTTTTTTTGTTTTGTTTTTTCAAATCTGCGTGTTTCTTTGAGTTGGATTTGTATTTCTTGTTTCCTGTATTCTGCTTATCCATAGTTTTAACCATAGTCGCCCTGCCACCCTCTTTTCCGTAATTCCTTCTCCCAATTTCTGTTTTCAGCCAAATATCCAGAAATCAAGTCCCTGATGGGTCCAGATCCCCAGCTCAAGTGGGTGGTATCCTGCATGGTCTTAACACAGCTCCTGGCCTGTTACCTGGTCCACAACCTGTCGTGGAAGTGGGTCTTCTTCTGGGCCTACGCCTTCGGGGGCTGCATTAACCACTCCCTCACGCTGGCCATTCACGACATCTCTCACAACGTGGCGTTTGGCAACAAGCTGGCCAAGTGGAACCGCTGGTTCGCCATGTGGGCCAATCTGCCCATCGGGGTGCCTTATTCCGCCTCCTTTAAGAAGTACCACACTGACCACCACCGATATCTGGGGGGTGACCAGCTGGATGTGGACATCCCCACGGAACTCGAGGGCTGGTTTTTCTGCACCCCAGCCAGAAAGGTCCTCTGGCTCTTCCTCCAGCCGCTCTTCTATGCCCTCCGACCATTGGTGGTCAATCCTAAACCAGTCGGTCAGCTGGAGATCCAGAATACTGTGGTTCAGCTGGCAGCAGACGCAGTTATCTTCTATTTCTGGGGGCTGAAGCCCATTGTTTACCTCATCGCTGGATCTATCCTGTGCATGGGCCTGCATCCCATCTCTGGACATTTCATAGCTGAGCATTACATGTTCCTGAAGGGCCATGAGACGTATTCTTACTACGGACCACTGAACTGGATCACCTTCAACGTGGGGTATCACATGGAGCACCACGACTTCCCCAGCATACCGGGCAGTAAACTACCTCAGGTGAGCATGCGTTCGTCCGTCATGAATAACCATGACCCTCCCAGTTAACTTTGAACTTTAGTAATTTTTTCCAGGTCTATTATTACCTATCGGCCAACCTTAGAGCAGGCGTGGGCAGATAAGATGGTTTGACACGAAAATACAATCATCCATCAGGCTATAACTAATTAGCTAGTTCTTCTTAGGCTTTAGAGAGAAACCGTAACTCTCGAAATAGTCATTTTTGATTAAAGATTTGTGTGACTCAACAGAAGGGCATCTACGTGATTGTAATTAAAAGCCACCCCCCCAAAAACAAACTCCCAGCCTTACCTTCTTGTGTTTTCATGTCAACAGGTCAAGCAGATCGCTGCAGAGTATTACGACTGCCTCCCCCAGCATACCTCGTGGACCCGCGTGCTCTGGGACTTCGTGTTCGACGACAGCATCGGCCCTTATGCCAGAATCAAACGGGAGTGCAAACTGAGCAAGCAGGAATAGATCTTTGAGGATATGTAAAAAAAAGAAGAAGGGAATATTATCTGTTTTATCCAAAATATTCTCTAGGTAGAATGCTTGTTTTTTCCTGTCTTGTCGTGTGATGTAACTGAGATCAATCTTTAAAGCATCCCATCCGTCCAGTTCTCCCGTCACAATACGAGAAATTACGGTTTGCATTTCAGTAGTCACTCAAAGTTCAAGGAAGCAGAACTAGCTGCGTTCCACAGCCATGCCGTATTCTTACTGGGTTACTGTTCTTGTGTGTAATCCCGCTGCAATAGATGGGCCATTTTCAGGATATAAAGACATTTATTAGGAGCTCAGAAAGGCACAATTACAATAAAAGGGCAATATTGCCTCTGTATTTAAACATCAAGGACAAAGGTCACATGCACTCTCAGGAGTTTTTACAGATGTCCCTCCTGCATACTGTTTTTTGCACTTGCTGACAGAACGCTTCCCTAAAAGGAACTACACATGACTTTTGAAACACAACTTCTCATATTATATTAGACCATTAGGCATATTTCATGCAGGAGAGTGCTGATGTGGAAAATGAGCTTTGAAGCCTTACCTTCCAGTAAGAGGAGCCTTTTCTTCTGTGACGTCTCGTTCTGCTTGTTTGGAGCTCATCGTGTTGTAAACGGGGAGTGAAAATAAAAACAACACAGAAGGTAGTTCTATGGAAATGTTTACGTCTCTTCCTCATTCTTCTGTTCTACCTGGGGCTTTTTTTCCCTCCAACTTTTTCTCAGTGTTCCTGAGACTACTTACATGATGTATAACTTCTAATCATGCAGTTTGGTTTTTGTATGTCTTATGAAGGTTAGTGATTTCCTAATTAGCAAGAACAATCATTGGATTTTTCCTATATTTTTGAATAAGCATGTGGATCTGAAATGGGAAGAAAAACAACCCGGTTCAGGGGAAGAAAGAAAGAAAAACGCCCCGGGCTCTTTGCCGTGATCACTGAGCCTTTGCCCAATGCATTCAAAGCCCCCCCCCCCCCAGATAGCATGTTGTTACTCCTACAATATATAATCACATAATAAAAAAAATTGCAGACACAGTTGACACAATCAGTGATGTTTTGGTTTGAATGAATTTACTTCCAGGTTTTAAATCAGAACGTGGTTGAGAGCAGACAGAGTGGATAGAATGCAACAACTGATATTCATCCAAAACCTTTCTGCAAAGACACATTTAGTTACCATCACAAAGGCCTACATTTAACCCTCTTCAGTACATTCCTCTCCAGATAGGATCTTCATATTACCAGAGCAAGCCTTTCTTATTTTCTCCCCACGTTGCTACCATTATCATCAGACTCAACACCTCATATATAGAAAGGGGAACTTTCATAGAAACAAACCACTATAATAAATGTACCACCATTTATCTATCTATCTATGAATATATGTAAATGTGTGCACACACATATATATATATATATATATTTGTACACACGTGTATTTTTCAGCATTTTAAAACCAAATGAAAGTTAATTGATTAATTGATCAAGTCAGGGTTTCATGCATACTTGGGAGATTCACAAAGCATTGGATGACTAATAGATTACACTACATAGTTTATAATGTGGGTAAGACAAGGTGGCACATTTACAGTTATCGGCCTGTTTTGTGAATGAACCCCAAGTTTCAATGATCACGCACATCTGGACAGGTAGAGTGCAACTAGTACCTCGGTCACACTGGAGTTGTGGAGCAGACTGTGCGAGCAGTCTGATTCCGTGTTTTTTTTAAAAAAAAAGCTCCTTTGTGATGTCCTTGTCTTGTCTGAGAGGTAAGAGGTAATTGAAGCAGCGAATTGAAGGTTAGACACACAACACCAGTATGAGCTAGGTTATAAAAAGTTTTTTTTTTTTTAACACATTTTCTTTTTTTTAAATATGCCAGTCGAGGGCAAGTGGGTAAACAGCACCAGTATGCCCGTATTGTGCTTGTTGTCATGAAATAGTTAGGGATAAACTGAACAAAAGTAATAGAAAATAGAAAAGGCTGACAGAAATCGTGTGCAAGATTCCTTTATCCTTCTATAATATCAATAAAATACTCGTCGTCAACAGCATCATTATCATCACCACAGTTTTTAAATAATAAAACAGTAAAAACTTAGAAAACAAAAATATTTCTTCTTAAGACTTGGACTGAAAAGAGAACAAAGAGCTGCAACACTGGGCTGACTGAGTCTAGGTGCACAGAGAGGACCACAACACCAAACTCAGGACAAATGTCTGTTCTTCCCCACTTGTTGGTTCAGTTCACATCTCATCGTCTACTTCGGTTCCTTGGAACATCAGTCTTTCCACTTCTTCTGCTCTTCCTTCTCACTAAATCTCTGCTCTCCCACGTCCATTTCCTCCCTCCGCGTTTGCTGTCCAGCAGACTTAAATGTTGGCACAACATCTCTGCAACTCACATCGTGGCATCGCAAGGTCACAGAAACATTGAGAGAACATTCTCCGGTCCTCGTGTCTATGCATCTGCCTGTTCATCCTCCTTCAGCCTCTACTGTTGCTCTCCTCCTGCTCCTCCATCTGCAAGCTCCGATGAGATTAGGATGTACTGATTCTGCCGATTTCTTGTCTGATGGCTGCAGGACGAGAGAGAAAAAAGAGGCTTTATGTCAACTCTCAGCCATGGTCTTTGCACGTTAGATTAGAATTTGAGAACAGATACATCTGTTGAGAACAGTTAAACCTAGTGTTTGGAAGAGACTTTTGAGGGTGCTGCCTTGCACTGCTTACCATTAATGATTTCATCTTTCACCTTATGCAACTCACGAACAACTTCATCCAAGATTTCCTGAAGATCGATAAACAGTACAAGATCACTTTCTGAACTGGTCTTTAAACCAAACAGCGCACAGAAGTCCACAAAGTGTAAAACTAGTCAGTGTTGCAATGCAATAAACCATAGCTGAGACTGAAACCTACCTGTTTCATTCGGTCAAATTCTGTGTCAGCTTCACTAGTGCTGCCAATGGGTCTCACTCTGAAACACAAAAACCAAACACAAAGTCATAACAAAATTACAAAGAGCCCCTGTTCAGTGAAGCCAACAAACCACAGGTTTGTCTCTTCCTGTTTGTTCCAATCATTTACATTTCCCTGCTCTAACAGAGTTACAGATACTTATCAAACCCCCTATTACAAAAAGCTTTGCAACCATTTCATATTTAAACCACACGCTCCTTTAATTTCTCTAATATACAGACCTGGACACCAACGAGGACTTGTCTGTAGAGTTGGATCGTTCCCAAGGCTTCTTCACAGCGTCTGGGATGAAGTTCAGAGTAAATTAGAAGAATGAAACAACTACAAGCAAATAACTCATCCTGATATGAAGGGACTCTTTTAAAACACTTTTAAATGAATTTTTTAAAAGTACAGTAATATATGATTTAATATATAATTCATTGATTTATTTTATATATATATATATATACACAACAAGAGACTTAGTCCATCAGAGGAAGTAAGAAAGAGCAAACCAAGCCTCACCCTACAATTTGTTCATGCAATGCACCAAGCTGCTCTGAGGTGTTAAACCTCTGACCTACATACCGGCTGGGGAGATTTGTCTACACAAATTCAGTTTCCAACACATTTTCGAAGGCCATCGGTTGTGGCTTTTACCCCTTGGTACCATTTTAAAGCCTGTGGTTTCATAACGTTTTTTTTCTCACCTGTTGAGTTCTGCTGGCCTGGCCCACGACAACCCGAGTCATCCTTCAAAATAGACAATTAGCAATAATTAAAATAGCTCCATTCAATTAAAAAAAGGGACAAATGCATATAGATTTTAAGATTTTGTTTTAAGAAAGAATGGCATATTTAAACAGTCCTGCCGTCTGTATTCTAAATGCAAATGCCATTGGTTAGCTTGGCTGTTTTCCAGGTTTTAAACTAGGTGGGATAGTCCTGTTGGCTAGAACTTCACATCCACATAAACATGATCAGTATTGATCTTCTCATAAAAAAAAATCTCGAATATAAAATTAAACTGTTCTACTGTCCCAACTTTAAAGACAAGACTTACCTCATCAGGTTTCTCTGAAGCTTTTCGTCTGAGACAAAGACAAGATGGAAAAGAGGTAAACGTAAAATGAATGCTGCATTTTGTAACGTTGATAACATCCAGGTAGTAGCCCTAATTTCCCTTTCAGATAGCATTTACTGAATGCAAACACAAACAACAGCTTTTTTCTTTTTAGTTCCTGGTGGGATGGGAGCTTTTTGGCCCCATCAGTGACTGATCCAGCCCCTAATGGAGGGAAAGCTGTCTGTTCTACCTGCGAGCTAGTAAGGCATTCATTTCCTGCATGAGTCCCTCTCCTCCGCCACCGCTGCCACCACTGGACCGGTTGGAGTCGCTTTTCCCACCAGACCCAGGCGGACTGCTCTCATCCTGAAGAAAAAATTATGAAATAGGTGTCTAGTCTCCAGCTTATTAATAAACAACACCTTTCTGGCCTCAGTCAGACTGAAAGACTGAAACAAATCGCCTATAAGTAGATGAAGGAGGCTCACCCTGTTTACTTTCCGTAGTTTGGCTCCGGCCAGTGCTGCAGCCAGCCCTGAGGGTTGGTGCTGGATCCCAGGAGGGCCCCCGGGTGGCCCTCCGCCGATGGGGAGTGGCGGGGGCATGGGTGGGGGCACGGCCATCGGCGGGGGCGGGCCCGGAGGCGGCGGTGGAGCCGGAGGACCAGCCATGGGTGCTGGAGCTGCAGCTGGAGGAGGTGCAACAGAAAGCACAGATGGGTGCCCTGCAGAGACAGGGGGGCCTGGGAGGGGCACAATTACAGCTGGGTCAATGGCCGCATTTGCCCATTTCCTGTTTTCCCTGGGAGGTTCATACGGAGGTCATCTGAGGAATGGTGTCAGACACCTTTTCACGACCCCTGGATAAAAGGCAGCGCATGTGGAGGCATCTGGGAACTATTTACACAACGCTGGAATCACTGGGATGAGATGCAGAAATTGGTAAACCAATAATGGAAAGTCTTTAATCTAGAAAGAAGCTGGTCTTTCATGCAAGCGAGTAAGAAAATAAATACTGACAGTTCTGGTTTGAGGGACATCATTTTCTCCTGCGCTTAAGGAAAAAAACAGATTCTTATGAGCCACACAACATAGACCTGAAACCACAAATACAACCATGAATGGAGATCGTGCATGGCTTCAGCCCATCCTAAAAATGCATCTGACCATCTGTTTTGCATTCAGATGAACCAGCAATGCCCTCTCATTTGTTACAAAAGTTTAAAGTTTGTTAAACTTTGTAACGAGCATTTCATTTGAGTTTTACATACTCGAGGGACTGAAAAGAGACATTTTTGTTTTACTGGTGAAAGCATCTGTAGTAGTAAAATCTGCTGACCTGTTATGAAGAGCAATGCTTGAAAACGAACTGATTTGTTCCGAAAAAAAAAAAAAAGGCTTTTGGGCACTTTGTGATGTTTTGAAAAGGTTTGATCCTGTTTTGAACTGTGCACCTCTTACATGATGGTGATGTAGACTAAGCTGAGAATGTTGGCTGAGGGTGTGCGTTTATGTGCTATGCATGTATGTGTCAAAGTTCTTTTCTCTCGGGTGGCTTTGTAAGTGTTGAAGTGTGGCACATTCTTTAGAATCCAAATAACCGTGTGACCCTCTCTGCACGCACACAACCCCACACACTCTGATCACATGTGTCGTCCCTCTGCTGAGAGACTACCTCCTCCTTCTCTCCTCCTCATACTTACTGCTGTTGGCCATGGGGGGCGGCTGGGGGACAGGGGAGGGGGTCTTCTTGGGCGAGCCCCCATCAGACATGGCAGTGTAAGAAGGGGGCGAGGAGGAGGAGGAAGATGTGGTGGGGGTCTGGGCCTGCTGGTGGTACGCCTGCGGCTGCGGCTGGTGATGCTGCTGAAGCTGCTGAGGGTGGAAGGTGGACTGGTATTGGGGCTGGTGGCCGGGGGCAGGGCCGGGGGCTGTCTGACCTACCAGAGGAGGCAAAGGGATGGCCTCGCAGTACTGTGGCGTGAGGGGAAGACGCTGAGAATGAGGGGAGTAGGAATCATCCGGCTGGCCGTTGGAGTGAGGGTGATGCTGGGGGTACTGGTGGGGGCCCGTCACAGCGCTAGGATCAAGGGGAGGGGGTTTCATCCTCGTGCTTACGGGAGGGAGGGGATGAGCTACTGGGAGCACCGGCTGTGGGGGCAAACTCTGCTTGACCGGCATGGCCATCATTACGGGAGGGGATGAGGAAGGGGGGCACTGGGCGTACATTTGCTGCATGTGGGAGGCGGACCAGGTGCCGTGTTTAGGGGGGAGCATCATGTCCTGCTGCTGCTGCTGCTGGAGGTGGCGGGCGGCGGTGGGAGGAGACAGGGGGATCTGACGGGCTTGTCGGCCCTGGGTGTTCACCCCAGTCTGCACGGGGGAGAAAGCTGAGGCAAGCGAGGTGGAGAGCTGGGAGGAGAGCTGGGCCTTGTCCCGAGCAGCCCCCGCCTCTCTCTCCTGAGAAGGAGAGATGGAGGTGGAGGAGGGAGGAGAGGCGGAGGCCACGCGGACATAGGATGGCGGCAATGTGCTAGCCCTGTACTGTCTGTACTCAGGAGGAGTGTCTGGGTGGGTGGGAGGAGTGGAGACTTTATATTGGAGAGTGGACACGACTGTGACGGGCAAACAGAGAAAGACAAAGAGGAGGAGGAGATGCAGACGAGGAGGGCAACAAACAAAGGAAAACAGAAAAGAGAAAAACGTGAGAAGAATGGAAAGCAACTTAGCAACCAAGCAAGTAAAGATGAGAAAATTAGGAGCAGTCCAAAAGCAGAAGCCAATAGCAAATAAGAAAGAATCAAAATAGTATAAAAGAGAACAAGCAGCAGAATGCAACATGACTGAGCCATGACCAGAAAGCATATGGCATTTCCCCCGAACAGTAGCTGGAAGAAAGAGATGGCAGTAGAGCATGTTGCAGGGACAGAAGGGTGCTGATATTATTGGTGACGTAAGGGACAAGGGCACATGTTTAAGTCTGTATGTGTGTTTAAAGGGCAGACTTGAACATTTCCATGTGTGCGTGGTTAAAAATGCATTAGGTCACACAGACTGGGGAGTTGTGGTTGAAGGTGGGAAAGCTCAGGCAAACCACGGGGAAACCTACATCCACTCTAGGAACCAGTCATATCAGAGCACAGACTCTCTGGTACTCATTAATGATGAGTCACCTGGTTGCTATGGGAATGTAAATGTGCTGTGCCTGACTGAATGGAGGTAACTTCCCCTCATCAAACAAAAAAAAAAGCTGAGCTGAACAAATACTCATTATCTTCCACTCACGGTTGTTTAATGACATATGAAGTGACCCGCCAGGTTGTTTTTTGTGATAATGTTTGTGTAGCTAGGATCATATGTTATGCAGCCCTCATTTCACAGTGGTCTCCAGAGCAGCTTGTTTGCACGTGTGTGAGAGGAATTTCAGGAAGAGTGTTTAAACAGGGAGGTGTGGGAGTGTTTGCCCAAAGCTCACCTGATCCTGATGTCCGCCGTTCCCTCTCCTTGTGCGCCTGCATCTGATGCTCCATCATCCTATAAAGTGCAAGAATGTCTCTGCTCTTTAAAGCTGTGGTTAGTTTGAATAACTGTAGACTAATGGATACAGGGTACGTACTTGTAAGACTTTTATTATCAGTTAAATGATCACCAGAACAAACGTGTGGAATGCCATTATAAATATGAAAATCACTCTCAAAGGGATTAAATGGGTATCTGTACTAGGTCTTAATATTCAGCAGAAACCAGCAGATTCAGGGTTGACTACCTCTGACAAAGAGGGCAAATGAGTCAAGTTCCTGTGTCAGAATTATACAACATCCAGATGGTTTAAAGATTGACAAGTTAAAAAATGGTTAACTCTCATTCAGTACATTATTGCCGCATCTCTTATAAAAAACCCTGTTATCATTTTACTTCTGTTTTGAAAGCTTAGTCTCTTCTGATGGACCAGACTAACGTTTCTTTGCCGGCTTTAGATTATTCATATGGTGAAACTGATGAAGTATGCTTTTTCTCATCTGGAAAGTCTCATTTGTAGAAATAAAAAACTCCCTGTGGTAAAAGGTTTTGGCTTTGTAAGCATGCAGGTCAGATGTTCTCTCTAAAAGGCAATGTCCCGCTCCTCACAGGAAAGGGGTTTATACTGAATATTATTCCTACCTCCTCTGCGCTTCGCTTTCCTCTGAGGAGGGCCCATTTTGGCGTTGCACAACTGGACCTGGGCGACACGAAAAAGCAAAAAAAACAAACAATTGAAGCCATAAAATCCAATAAATAAGTCAAATGAAATGGCCCACACGTGTGAACAGATGTAACAATGCCTACTGCCTAGTTCAGAATATTACATAACACTTATCAATGATCTTTCAATCACAACAAAAGCAAAAAAGACAGTGTACATGTGTGAAGAAAACTTTTTAAGTTGCAAAATGGAGCAACTCCATACAGACAGAGATCCTGAAAAATAGAATAATCTCAGATAAACAGAGAGGCTGAATAAACAATTAGCAGCTTGCATCATGTGAGGTACTGTGACTTTGCCCTGGAGGCTCCACAGATAGTTTCTCATGCAGTTTTCTTAACAAGTTGCCAGCCATGGGAATTACAACAGGAATACACACAAATCATAGGGGAATCACAGGGAAGATCAAAATTAGATCCCAGATTAGTCCAAACTATGAGGAACTTAAGATATGTGTTAGCAGCTGGTGTTAGTCTGAATGTTTGTGTGATAAACATGTGACATGATCAGCTCAGTTTAGAACTTATCTTGTTGACCAACTAAAGAGAGCTCCCCTCCCACCTCTACCACACACACAGATACACACCATTCTGGAGCAGCTATACAGGGAGCATTGGGCAGAGTACTTATCACATATCACCAGAATACCAGTCATTAAACTCCAACGCCCACTGTGATTTGAAGATCACCCACAGGGTGATATTTCCGTTTGAGGTGTCTGGGGCAGTGGGGGGAGCCACCCTGGGGCAGGGCAGTCTACATCCCCGTAAGGGCAAAAAAGGCCTTGTGATTTTTTAGCAATCTCAGTTTTGCCTATTTTGGAACAAAGTTCAACATGTGGTTTTCTTCAGCACCTCCTCCATTGAAGTGTTTCAGTCTAAATTAGACCTCAATAAATGATCATTTTTCTGCCACACTTTGACTGTACCTTTTTCTTTCAGAACCCAGAGTGACTGAAAAATAATGTTTTGCATGTTTTTCTGTTTTTTTTTTGCTGCACGTTGTTGAGCGCATGCTGTAAAACTCCCATGGGGAAAAACTTGGTTACATAAATAAAATCAACTTCACTTCAGTCTAACATCAATTCCAAAGTATGTGTTGATTAAAGTCATCAGACATGAGGTAGAGAAACCTCTTTAAAATGAGATTTTACTTGCTAAAAATAACAAACTTGTATTTAGTTAGCTCTTTGTAGAAGGCATGTCACTTTGCTTGATATCTGACACTCCCTGAAACTCTGCTTGTGAGCTGCTGTTAATTATTTTCTCTGCCAACAAGGCAGAGAAAATGTGGTTGGTTGTGTGTGGTTTTCCGATAAGTTAGTTGGCTTATCGGAAAACCACACAAAGATGACACAGATACTAATTTAAGGCTTCTGACAGGCTGATAACATTTCTGACCTGACAAAAAAGACAGAGAAATAACGACTATAAGATCCTTATATTGTGCATCAAAGACTTCAGGGATTCAATCTTTGAATTACTCAAAAAAACACAAGATCATCACTTCACAGCCCATCAGCTGATATTAATAGGACAGCTGTAATAACGCGTCATACTACTCTGCATTCACATTTATGCATGAGTCTGTTTCTGTCATGATGCATAACGTTCAGGCTCTGGAGGCCCGAGGGAGGACAGGGACTGGACTTATGAGCGCGTTATTTTTGATGCCATCAAAGAAAAAAACTATTATTCCTGCCTTTTGTACTCGTGTTACTCTCCCTTTGAACAACCACGAGCATGGATAATCAAAGGATGACCAGTGACGACCGGCAGCAGAAACAGCTGTACAGGTGCAGCCCAGTTATTCTGGCACCAGCACAGACATTTTACTGCTAAGGTGTAGTCTTAAATGTGTTCATTTCTCATTGTTTCACCAGGTTAGAAAAGCAGGTCGCCCACTTTGAACTGGGACTGTTAGTTCAAACTCTCAGGTATATCACAGGATCCTAACTGTGCCTGTCGGGACATCTGAAAAAAAATAAAAAACTTTTGTCAGTCATTGAAAACGAAAATTTCCACCATAGTCATTTAGCACAACTCTTTTGTCAAAGCACAAATACTGACTGGAAATGGACTGCCCTTTCTCTTAAACAACAGCTGCCCATGAAATGTTAAATATTTACACCTTATCCCAAAGACATTCATTGACTGTCATGATTCACCGTCTCAAGTCTGGAAAATGACTTTTTTTTTAAGCATGTCTTCAAAGGAACCACATATGTAATGTTCTGCATGACAAATCAACCTTAAACAGTCACAAATCAGCCTCAGGCAATGTTGACATTTATTGTTGCAACTGGTCCAAAGGGTGACTAGATAAATTATGTCAATGATTAGATAGTGGGCAAAAAACCACAAAAAACCCAGAATCACTGCTGTACAACAAGCCTGTCCGTATCTTAGTCTTTTGTATGAAATATTGATTCAATTAACGAACTTCATGAACTTAAGAGGAAGAAGAAAAAATAAAAAGAAGAAGAATGACACACTAAAACTGACAAAAAAGTGAAGCAGAGGTAGTTTAAATCACTTCACTAAATCATACCAGTACCCAGTTCTCTGGAGACACTTCCCTCTATCTGTCACCACGTTGTCATGGAAAGCCCGCCGTACTGGTGGACTCATGTCTCTGCAGCACGCCACTTACTGAGGATGATGATGGCTGATGAAACCCGTCTGAGGACACCCGGAGAAATCTCTGGGGCTAGCATGGTGGCAAAAATGTCCTAATACCCCCCAAATAATAGCAATCTTCACTACGTGATACTACAGTAACACCAGTGCTACTTTAAGAGGAGACAGCTTGACAGACATGGAAGTGTAATGAGGCCCAAATGCAGCCCAAGAAAAAAAAAGAAAAAAGGAAAAGGAAAGCTATGCCGCCTACATGAAGGGGTACGACACTGAGGCTCCACAGGAGATATTTTAGCAACCAACGTGGGGGTCACAAGGATGAGATGCGATGACACTGCTGCTGCATACCCAGATATGTTTTTCTCTCTGCCTCTCTCTCACACACACACACATGCACCAACACAAAGTGTATAAGTAGCTTGTAACCAGAGACGCTGAGATGCCGCTCTGTAAACTGAGAGTAGGAATGAGTTTAGCTTTAAATACAGCTCACAGTTTCAGATGGATTTCTTCATTTTGTGCGTATTTTGAATGTATTCACCAAGTACAAAAATGGGATGAGTGTACTCAGATGTAGGTTTTGTGCGTTATAGATTTGTTATATCTATGTTTAGAAAAAAAAGCACTAGAAGTTAAATGTGACTATGAATTTTACTTTGATTTTGTTCATTTATTTATTTAAATGGAGGAACATTTTAATGTAGTAACGATGTGGTTTGCTTTAATGGTAGAAATGAAGCTGCAGTACATGAGGTTAACCAACAGGGTGCAGCAGAGCTGCGCTTAGCGGCTCCATTGCAGTGCAGCAGAATATCTACATCAACCAAACAGACAACCTGCATAAATAACCTGGCGAGTGAGCTCATGTTGTCTGAAAAGCTTCAACAGCATGAATAACGCACTAATGACTTCTAATCCAAGTAGAACAATTTGATTGTCTGACATTCTCTCAAGATAAGACAATATGAATCTTATTTGATCTTAGATTGACATTCATTGACAATTTGATTTAATTTCACAGCGAAAAACATCAGCACCAGATGTGAAGGGAATGCTTAAATAAAACAAAAGCGGGGTCGGCAGTCAGTTGCTGTTCTAGGCGTCGTAAATCCTTACCTCCGCTGTCAGGGGAGCTGAGGACATTCAGAGCGAAGAGCATGGCGTTGGAGAAAGTGGTGGCCTCCTCTTTACTGGCAAAGTTCAGCCCATAGACCTGTCGGGCATCACGCCACTGATGGAAGGTCGGGGTGGCCTGGTTGTACTTCAGGCCCTTCACTATAGAGTAGTTGATCACCACCTTTACAAGGGAAAAGGACTTATAAATTGTTCAGAATCTAACTGGTCACCTGAATGACATGTGCTGTGATAGCTTTTACAATTACAATTCAAGTTTTTCCTTCAATTATTAGCAATCAGTGAATTGCTTCACAAAAGAATAACTTTAAAACAGTTATGAAGCACCATCTTTTCTAGACTCAAAAAGTACCTCAAAACAAGGATGTGTGAAACAAGAGACTTAAATAGATATGGATTTCCCTTGTTAGTCTGTTAAGTTTTGTAATATTTTTCCAGAATTTGTACTAACTTAATAATTCTAAATTAACAGAGCATTTGTTTATTTTAAGACCATTTGTAATTATGATAGTACACAGTCATAACTTGCTATAATAGAGGAAACCTATTTTCATTTCTTAAAAGAGGTCTCAATTTGAGAACATCCACAAATGCACATGTACATTAATTTCTGCTCCTCTTTGTGATGGTGATGAGCTATTTCCAAGAAAATTTAATTCTACAAAGATTCTATTTCAGAAGATTGCAAGAGAGAGGGACAAAACTCGCAGGGGCGAAGTGATAAAGTCAACAGCGAACTTTATCGGCTCAATATATGACGCTGTAAACAGGGATATGCTCAGAATTTCGGGACTTTTCATTCTCATATCAGAAATACAAGCACTTTCTCTGTGGTGAAGTTGGTAACTCAGTAAGGCTGCCATCGCAAAATCGGCTGTCTTTCGTCCATTTCCCATCACTGAAGGGATTTTTCCTTTTCGGCTTGATTTCTTGGGTTTCTCACCTGCTGGTCCTGCAGTTTGACGCCCACCACTCGGAAGGTGTTGTTGGCAGTGTTGTGGTAGATGTTGATGCGGCTGAAGCCCTGCTGCCCGGGCTTGATGGGCACCCACTTCTTACTGGCGTCATCATAGACCATCACAGAGGCCCGCGCCTGGCAGATGCTCTGCTCACTGAAAGAGGACGTCAGGAGATTAGAATGTTATATCAGACATGATACTAATGAAAATCTATCGCAACATCAGCAGATTGTGAGATCTTTCATTGCAGTGGTGATGCTAAAACAACGCAGTGCTTTCTTTTGTTGGATCACACACATACCGGTACAGCACCAAAAAAACGAGCGTCAGATAACACATGAAATTAAGAGCAATGAAAAGATGAGTCCTGGAAAATCATTTAGCAGTTTGGCCAGGGTCACTGAGGAGCCTCCTGCTCTGTGCTGGGGGCCCTTCAGAAATAACGTGCTGCTGCTCGAGGAATCCGTCGGCTTCTGAGGGCCAGAGGCCATTTTTAAAATCTGTAACAAGACCTCAACCTAAAACAGAAGACTGGAAAGTTCGTCTTTCTGTCTTTGCCGAGGAACAGCAACATTAGGCTGCTGGATGTGTGTCGTGTGTGGGCTCAGACACACGAGCATTCGATCAGGGAGCACGTTGGCAGGCCTCACCGGGTCATGAGCAAACAAAAAAAATCAATCGACTGCCACAGAGAGCGATGCCTCTATCGAAACGAGGCCTCTCTGAAGAGTTGACAGAGGGTTAGCTCATTATTTCCAACGTGATGACATTTTGACACGGGTGGCGTGACGCTGAGGCCGCCTCGGTGTGAAAACACCAGAGAGCGTGAAGAAATGATGTGGACAGGGAGAGGCGATGCCAACTTGAAACCGGGTAACGCTTCTCCAATTAGTGTTTTCAACACTCCAGAGGCAGCTGCTCTGGTTCACGTCAACGGGCTGACGGACAGCAGCTCAACTAGGAACCACTGGCATCAGCTCCCAGACACAGCTCAGACAGGAAGTTAAAGCCGTCCGCAGGTGAAGGGAAGAAGGCTGGGCTATTTGTGATAGGTGCTGCCCTCCTGATAAAAACTAAACAAATAAAACCTGGGCCCTGGCATGGATGAGGATTTTCCTTTGGCACACTGTCAGGCTGCGCTGTGCACGGCAGCCTCGTTACAAGGCACAATGCGCCCCGCTGCTCGGTTAAAAATGGCCCCCCAAAAAAAGGTTTGAGTGACGCCAGGTGGCTCTAAACTGCTCTAAGTGGTTTACAACTTCATGCTTAGGTCAGACTCCTAGAAATCCAATTCCACCTCACTGTCGCTAAAAAGGACGGAAAACGATGGAGGCCCGTGGGAGACGCCAAGCTTTCTCCCGCAGCCTTCTTCAGACCCAAAGCCCCCGACGACAGTCGCAGGGCTGAAATGCCAACACGTGACCCCCTAACCTGGCAACCTTTCCATCAGATGCTTCTCTCCACAGGAGGAAGACAGCGTGATACCTGAGAGAGAGTCCCCCCCCCGGACCGCAACCGACCCACGCCCCCTCCCCTCTCCCCTTATTTCCCCGCCACCGTCTGCTCTCCGACTCCCTCGTGGTCTTTGGAGCAGCTGAGAAATAACTCGGCAGTGATGAGGACGCTCCACCTCTTTTAGCTTTGCCCAAACGGTCGTCTTGCAGACTGATATTTCCCCATGAGTAACCGATCTGGAATATTTTCAGAACCACAAATGTTACAAGTGTGTTTTTAACCTGGTGTCCGTCTTCATGCAAAGATCTTCCTCTCGTGGGGTCCTGCCCTATAGAACCGAGGTAACGCACCCGGATACGGGTGGTTTTTCGGAAGGCCTGCCTCGGTTTAAACTGAAACCTGAAAGAAACCCTTCATCCTTGCTTATCAGCTAATGATGCTAATGATGCAAAGAGCCATCCTTAGCCTCATGCAAACACTATTTCTTTTCCGGATTCAGAGAGGCTTCAAAGTAGAGGGTGGGAAGCAGGGGGGTGGCCACTCACAGCTCTCCTTACAAAAACAGGCCCTATTTCTGGAGCAGTTTGGGCCTGAGGGCAGGAGGCCCCGCAGCTCCAGGACGATGGCTTCAGTTAAGGAGTCAGAAATAAAGCACCCACTTGTCTCCTCCTGACAAAACGTTACTTAACAGCAGAATGGAGAGTGAAAAAAATGTAACTGTGAGGGGATGAGGGGGGGCAATCATGGGAAAGATAGATTCCAGCTTCAGAGCTTCAGACAGGGATGTAGAGCAAATCTAGTCTGGCTCCAGAGATGGAGCAGCTGAGAGAGTTGGACTACCAACAAAGGAAAGCGGAATGAAAAGTCAGGAAAAGGATGAATCAGAAGAGAGATGGTGGGTTTATGAGAGGGAGACAGGAAAATGGCACGATATGACAAAGGTCAGCGATAACTGGAAGTCACAATCAGTGACATTAAAACATGAAGCTCAGAACTGTGGAAAACACGACAGTATGTATACTAAATTGATCCTTGTGGTGGATTTGGTGTTTTTTTTTCTATAGCCTAGTCATCAGGCCTATAATCTATCTATTAGTTATGTTAGTTTCTGTCATTTTTGAGCCGCTCTTTTGGCCGCCTGCTGCAGTAAATCTGACCTCATTGTGTCTCTTTGTATCTTGCACAGATTTTCCGAGTCACTTTTCTGGTGAAAACTCTGGTTTTTAAAGATATTTTCCTTTTGCGGTTTTCGGGTGCTCGACTGGTGGAATGATTTCTGACGGGGAACAGGAAACCCGTGTGCTGCGTGGCAGGGCCGCTGATTCAGCTTAAGCCTGAGCAATAACTGGAATATGACCTTGAATGAGCCGAAGAGGATGCATAATCCACCTCTCTATTCCAGCTGTTGGTGGTAGTTTATCTCTGTGTCGTGTACTGAGCGGCTTCACCTGGGTCACCAGCCAGAGCCGTGTGTGACACCACCGGCCAAGCTGCTACCAAAACATCTCACACTCTTTATTTCTAATGATTTTCTATCCATCTATAGCAGAAATATAATATCCCTTAATGCCTAATAAAGAGTTTGGTGACTGAATGTTCCCAAATAGAAATGTTCCCTAAAGCATACTTTTCTTTTGCCAATAATGGACTATCAACAGTTCAGACTTCCAGTTTAAAAATTGGATGAAAAACACCACCATCAGCAGATTACTTTAGTAATGTCTCCATGAAGCCTTGAAATATGGAGGCAAAATGGATCAAATTGGATGGTGGTGCACCTCTCAGAGGCAGGATAAGGAACTACAACAATAGAGATGTGATTGGCTGGTGTTTGCGGCGTGGCCTCAAAGTTGAACTGCTCTCCTCTATCCACTAGAAGCCTTGAGCCTAAAATTAAGCACAGCAGCATGAGACATCCGTCACCATGGTCAAACATCAGCTGGGATCCCAGGATTCAAGGGTCTAGGTGAACGATGGGAGAAAATGGAGGAATACTGGGATGGGTTTCTTAGCCTATCTCTACAATTCTGCTGGTCTTTATGGTTGTTCATTAATAGTGACCTAAAAATAAACATTTTCTACTGTACAGTTTCACAAAATAGGAGTCGATATCCATCTGTGGGTCCATCCCTTTCAGATCGAGTGTTTTTTTCCAAAGAACTGTATGTAGGCCATCACTTGTTAATTGAATATATCAATATTTGATTTTTCAAATTTGAAACCGCTATTCCGAGGAAAAAAAAGAAAAGCCCTTCAGCTTGTTTTTGCGGGAAAGAAAAGAAAGCTGAGGAACACTCACACAAAAGGCCACCGGGGACTGGCGAGGAGGAGGAAGGCAAAACGTGCGGAGAGAAGCGCAAAGAGAACAGAGAGAAAAACAAGGACAGAGGAGACGAGGGCTTCTGCCGCGCTGAGTGCTTCCCCACGTCAAATAAGCCTCATAGGCTAGTGCTGAAAAGGAGGCCACGTTTCCAGGCTTTTGAATTAAGTAAAGCACTTCCCTGCACACATGGTTAGACATATGCGCTCCCCTCACCCCTCCCTCGCACACACAAATCCTTTACATACACAATTTGTGTGTCAAGGCTAACCCCCACCCCTTTCCCCAACCAGATCCGTCCATTAGCAAAGATCTCAGTGGTAGAGGAAAGAATGACCAAACGCAATCCAGTACAGGAAATATTGAGTGAATACATTATGGACTGAATGGAAGTTTTGTGTTGCTCAGCAGCTTCATGAACAAATTACTGGATGCAAAGTTTTTAGGCTGGAAAAAGTATCCCCCCCTTGCCCCCCAGGGAGGAAGGGAGTGGGATGCACGAGGCATCCTCTCTTGGTGCCATCACCCGAGGGCAGAGCTTCTGCTATCATGGCAGTTAGCGTTTGTCGCTGGGGCACGTCTTCACCCCACTGATTCACCGAACCCGACCAGAACCCAGAGCCCCACCAGAACCCAGCAACTGGGGAGTCGCTCAGCCCGGCCAGGTCTCTTCAGATTACAGCCCTTTCCTCTGGGATTAACAGTAAATGTCCTAAAACACACCACCAGGTTATCGACGCATCAAAGATAAATTGAGCTGTGGCAGGAGTGAAAGTCCCTCTAGAAATGAAACCTTAAGGATATTTTTCTTTATTATTTATTCACTTTTTAAACTCGTTTTAGCTCAGCCACTGGCTGGCAGGTCCACCTGCACGTCACATGTATAAGCACTGGGTGATTTGTTTAATGAGGAGCATTTCGTGCGTTTGTTTGCAGCCCTGATGACAGACAGAGAGAAAAACAAGAGATCAGAGACACGCTGCACATTGACAAATGCCTGTTGGGGCTGCTAATAAGCGTGTTTCTCCATAATTTTCGCTCTCAAAATGTCAGAGATGTGTCTGTTTGCTGTTAAAGTAAAGAAAGATGACAACAGCATCAATTTGTTGCATTAGTCATGATACAAAATGAAAACCACAAGGGTTCATTTACTTTTTTTTGTCCCTTTAAAAGGCCAAGTGAGCCCATTTTAGTCAGTTTAATACAACTGAGTATTTCAGCCACAGTTAACACAATGTGCACTTAAATTAGAGGAGAATTAATTCACTGGAATTCTTTATGTCGTTACTGCCCAACGCACACGTCCACTATAAAGCTGTCGGACTCTCCGTTTTTTCCTAAGTCAGAGTAGGATATCGGCCTTAATATAGCTTCTTATAGGCTGTACAAAAGCGTTCCTTCATGCAACGGGATGCTCCACCATCTGTATATTAACTGTCTCAAATGTCTCTGCTCTATGCATGTTAAAAAACAAACAAAACAAAAAAACTGATGCAAAAGCTTAGTGTGCCAGTTTCAGGAGAAACTTTTTGAATCGCTTTGTTTTGTTCTAGGTGTAAAATCGTAACTAGAGCAAAATCATTTACTTCCTCGTAGAAGCCTTTACACCATCTTCAACAGAAGAACTGGGGAGGACTTCCTGTGTGCTGCTTTGTCAACTGTCACTTAATCTGGACACGCAGAAGGCACTCACAACAGTTCCATCTTTATCTGTTCAGATTCATGCTAATGAACCCGTTTAAACAGGATCCAAACCTCCTGCGCGATGACACCGAGCTAAAAGAGACATTAAGCATCCACAGAGGCTCCCTGGGAACCCGGGAGCGATAATCCCACTGCTTTCTGCATCACCGGTTGCTGCTGAAGCCAAAAGAGACATCAAACCCAGAGTGGAGTTTGATCCCATCTCAACAGTATGTAGTATCTGATGTACGACTATAAGCTGGAATAAAAACACCTACACGGCACCTGGTAAACAACAACAAAAAGACACTATTTGTGCCCGGTCTTTAACCTGAACAGGACGCGGCAAATGACTGGACCCAAAAACATGCAAAGGCCACTCCACTTCTCCAGTGGCAGCCAGTTCGCCCCATGGAGCCATTTGCCACCACGCTTTTTTTCTCCAAACACAAAAAGAAATCCATAATTATGCACCCACACAGAATATCGCTGCGCCCATACGAAGGGCTGAAGTGACGGCGTTGGGTATTTTCAGCAGAGCGCCGCAGAAACGGGACCAGACGAACCCCCCTCACACACACACACACACACACAGATGGGCTGGATCGTATGGATCCGGTTAGCGGCCTGTAATTATCATGTTCTCCCCGAGCATCGCAGCCTCTCGGCTTCATCCTGCTTTTTTTGGGGGAGAAAGCGGCCGCCTCGCCTGTCATGGGTGGAGGTACGTCCATCTATTTACGGAACGGGGCTTGGGGTGTGGGGGTCCCAGTCGGTCACACAAGGAAGCAGCTTGTCTGAGTGGCTGGATTAGAGGCAAGAGCCAAGCGGGCAGATCATTACCTCACTGCAGTCTTAAATCTAAATTAACCAGGACTTAACTCCTGTACAAGACCTCTAATCTGCTGCGCAGGGGAAAGTCCTGTTCATAGGCGCAGTCGGGGAAAAAAGGCCCCGGGAACTAAAAACAGCCTTATTACCGAGAAGCGGTGTGAAGCCGGGTCATTTAAGAGTGTGCAGATGACATGCTGTTAGCTGGTTAAAAAGGGCCGGGGGACGCGGAGGCCATGCCAGCCTGCGTGGGGCTGCTGTGACGCTGCTGCATGTACAGTAATGCAATACAGCAACTCAGCTGGTAAAAATAAAGCGTCCCACACCGCCATAAAGTTATTAATACACATCTGCCACACACGCTGAATCTAATTCCTGTGCCCGTAAACTTAGTTTTTTCTGCAAAGGCATTTTTTTTATAGCATCTCCACGAGGAGCCACTGTAAAGTTCTGCTATTTTCAAAACTGAGATCTAATCCCCCCCATCTTCCAAGGGGCAAATGACTGCGTCTAAGTCCTTTTTTCGAGCCATCCTGCCTATACAATTCAAACTACTTAAACTACTAAAGCGTGGACTTCATTTGGAAACACAACAGTTTTGCTTTGTAGTCAAATCAAATTTGTTTATAAGGCCTATGAGAAACAGCTGGGTTTCAAATGGAACCCTGTTAGCAGAGTAAAGCTTTCCCTACAGGTGTTCTTCATATTTTTTTGGAATGTCTTGTTTCAACAAACCAAACTGTCCAATGGAATTTATTGTATAATCGTTTTTTTTATTATTTATCTCTGCACTCTCCCTTCATTGGCCCAGTGTAATTTGTATGTGTATTTTCATTATCTCTCTCAAAATTCTCTTTTGCTGATGATCTGGTTTCGTTCTGCACGATGGTTTGACATCATAGGTGGAATGTTTAATCTCACACGCTGTGATTTGACCAGTTTACCACCAGTGTCATTAAATCAGAGGCTGGATAACCAAAAAACAAGATTTGGGTTCCGGACTAACATAAAGTACATCTGCAGCATAACTTCACAATAAGCCAACAAATTCTGAACGCCGATCAAAACTGAAAGATAATCCAACTGCTTCAAAACAGCACTGGGAACTTTCATTCCGCAAAGAAAAACACCATCCTATTAAAATTCAACAGTAAGACAGCATCAAATCACAGTGGGTGGAAAGAACCGCAGATACAAGCAAAACAAACCATTTCAGAGAGATCTGGACCGTGGCCCCTCCAAACACGCTTCTCTGTTTACTTTATGGTCTCAACAATGTGAATGCAGGGCTGTTTTTTTTCTTTTTAAATACCTGCTTATTTCTGTGGGGACTAAGCTTTGATGTGAGGTGTACAGTACTGACTCCAGGCCCGCACCCTACATTTCTTTGGTGTCTTACAGTATACTGTCCATCGAACTGCTCTATCCAAAGGTGGATAAATATTACATGGATATGAGGAGATTTTCTATGAAAGCGAATTCTCCCTCTGATTATTTCTGTTAGATACCAAATATGGCTTCTCATTTAGAAGTGAAATTAATTAGAAACTCCCCCGCCCTGATGTATTCTTCTTACACTGCATAGAAGATGCTCGGGATCTAAGAGAGATTCCAACCAAAGCCTAAATATGCTATCTGGAGTTTAAATACTCCACTGTGAACCAGGGTTAATCCCTGAATGACAAAGAAACCAAGCAGAGTGCTGTGGTTGTTATGGCTGTGTAGCCGTGCAGAGTTTGATGCAATCTGCACCTTTTCTAATTTTATTTTTTTGCCCGTGGTGTTCTTTGAGTATGGGCGAGTGTGACAATTTACGCAATTCATTTAAATGTACCAATGCTTCACGCTTCAATAAGCAGGGGAAATTAAGTGGATTTGTTTCATTTTATCAAGGAAACAGGGGTAAATTCATTTTACACCCCACTTATTCTTGTAAAGATCCCTTGATAACCATAAAGTAATAATGCTTCAATATCACACCGGTCGAATTTAAGCAGCACAAACTGACAGATTTGAAATCGACTCGACCGCTAGCGATGAGAGCATCCATCAGAGCTGCCCGATCCTTCGGTTTTTCGTCCGGGACAACAGCAGCAACCTCTTTCTCTCGGACTCTTTAGCCCGTCTTCACTCCTGCCAGCGGACAACACAGCGGGAGAAAGAGAAGAGCGCTGACCTGAAAGGCCGCAGCTTTAGCCAGCAGCCAAACCCTGTGAATTAAACATGTTTGGAGGCCTTACAGATATTCTGCTTTTCAGATGTGGAGGTGCAAAGTGTTCAGAATGCAGAATATGCTGGGTGTAGCACTCCAGCTTTCTCTCTGTCGGCGTGTTCTTTGATAGAAATCATGAAAAAGGGAAAGGAGATAATCATCAAAAGGATCTGAGTCGAAACTTCGGCCATTAAAGTTTCACTTTAATAAAAGAACAAAATTGTGAATTCTCTCATACGCACACTAACAAATCCTAAATAACCCCGCTTCTGTTCCTGCAGAGCGGTGTGCCCGCACCAGATTAAGATTACAGATTAGTATTTTTGCTCTGATCAAAATGCAGCCGGGAAAGATGCGTCCATCTGTTACGCCGTAATAACACACTGCTGTCTGAGCAAACCGTACTGGAAGCGTTCTGAGACCTTAGCACCGACCTGGCAGCGGCGGCCTGGCGGTAGAACAGCCCGGAGTCGCTCACACTCTGAGGGAGGCAGTAGCGCAGGACCTGCAGCTGGTGTGCGTCCATGCTGGCTCCCAGGGAAACGGCAACAAGCAGCGGCAATCTATGAGGCCGACTCCGTCTTCAGCTCGGAATTAGGATTCAGCAGGAACAACGATACGCCCGTTCAGAAGTGGCCTTAGATCCAGACCCGCATCATTATCTTATGCACGCCTGTGTCCACTATGAGGCTGATGCTCCATCCATCCATCCAGCAACAAAGAGATGACTGACAGACGGGCACAGATGAAGTCATTGACCAGCAGGCTGTCCGACCGCATCACAGCTGAGTGTGTGTGTGTGTGTGTGTGTGTGTTTCACTGAATCTCAGAGCTATTGTCATCCTGATAACCCAAGGGAGATTACCTCATATCCCTGCAACCCCCCCCCACCTCCCTAATCCAGACGACACAGTCTGTGAGTGGGTTGGTGATGTAGCAGGGGGTTCCTGTTGTTTTCACCCCAACCCCTCTTCTTGACCAGTCTGCTGTTGCCATGGCCACAGAGTGTCAAGCGGAGGCTGAATTCGCCTCCTGGTGAACCGTACTGTGGCGAGTTACTATTGATTGGGATGCCCTCTACATCAGGGGATGGATTTAATGGCTGGTTATACAGCAATGTGACACACATTAGCAGGAGGAGGGATGTGAGCCACGTGTCCAGTGCCATCCTCTGAAAAACCACCTCTGCTGCTCCTCCTTCACGTTGGGGAAAGAGCAAGGTGGGAGGGGAGCCATCGCCCCTCACCTACGGCTGGCCTCAAGCCTCACGTGTGACAGAAACCCGGACGAGTTCAAGCTAAGTCCAGAGCAAAAAGAGCAGCCAGATCAGTTCGTCTGCTGAGCTTCATCCAAATCTCAGGAGGAACTGTAACAACATTCCGTGTGGCGCTATAAAATCCAGACTACTTCTTAATTTTTTTGTTCAATTTTAATATAATTCTCCATTTTGCTTGACTAAAGGATCACAGTAAAGTCTCGTGAAACCTTTTGCAATAATCAGACAGCACCGTAATGCCAGACTAACTCATCTTAAAGTACTGATGTGATCCAAGCATTTTACTCAATATGAGGTTAATTAAGTAACTCTGAATGGAGAAACACACACACGCACACATGCACACACAGTGTTTACTTTAAGTCAAAGTAACTTCAGCAGATTCTTACTAATCCGGCCGCAATTTCACACAAATATTAAAAAGACAATATCATGAAAAGAGGACGCGCACACGCCCGCCCTGCAATGAGGCACTTTCCCCCAGAGCTGTGCGGAGGTGTTTTAGTGTTTTACAACACATTTCTCTGATTCACTGCTTTGTCATTGCCAAGAACACTCCTTCATTTTTATTTTCACCCTACTGCAGTGGCCTCCGTTTCTGTTGATTCTTTTTCTGACTCCTTCACTGAAGCATGATTTTGTTTAGTGTATTAATAAAGACCTGTTTTAATCCTTTGAGAATATAACTTAAAATGGTCCATGTCCCCCATCCACTGTGCTCAGTACTGGACTCTATCGGGGGACCTGTGCTGCCTGTCGAGCATATCTATTTCTCCCATACAGGATTTTACTGACAACAACCTTAACAATAAAACCGACAACAATAAAACTAAACTAAACTAAACTAAACTAAACTAAACTAAAACTAAACTAAACTAAACCCAGTAAAAGGCTATGAAAACAGCTGTCCTGCCGGCTAAATGTTCAACAAGGGGTCACCATTTCCTGGGATTGGTTGAACATGGTCATTGGCCATCAAACAGTAGTTTATTTCTTGGTCTTTTGAGGGGTGGACCTCGCAGAGATTTGAGTGCCAACGGGCATCAGTGTGGACTCGTCTGTTGCTCAGAGTGCTCAGCTGGACTGCGGGAAATTTCTGTGGCAGGTCGGGCAAATGTTAACAAGCTCGATGTGTGACAGACGAGGCTCCGCTGGGCCCCCAGGAGGTGAGTCTGCCTGCTCCCGAACATTTAGGTAACCATCCCAGGAAACAGAACGCAAGGTCAAGCCATTATAGCCAGAATGACACACAATCCTCAACATGCTGCCCGGAGATACCATTAAGAAGCATATAAAAATAGAAATAACAATAATCACCGCTCTCCTTTTAGAGTTAACTGGCGACAGGTCGGTAACGTGATTTAATTTGAATAGAAGGGTGAAAAATAGGGAACTAAAATTGAATTATTTAATGTCAAAAGGTGTTCTAAAGACAGATTTATGTATCAAGGTACAAGACTGAAAACCCGCAAAACACTCCTTCCCTGGCACTGGCTAGAACACAGTTGTTGGGTTTTTGTAGTTGTTACCACTGCATGGGCTCAGGACCCCCACCCCCCCAGCCGCATGGCTCTGTAGTAACAGCATCACACCGCCTGCAGTCCAGACATGTCATTTACTGTGTTACACAATATGAAATATGACAAAGGAGGCTGCAATCTGATATCGAGCGAGACAGAGCAAACATTTAGTTTTTTTAAACTGAGAGTCGTTCTCTTTAGTTCCCAAACACTTTGGAGAATGAACAAACGTAGCCATGCAGCGGTTAAAGTTCTGTCCCGGCTCATTTGAGAATGTTTACAGCTGGCATCAAAATAAGTATAAAATAATAATAAAATAGTCATTACTGAATTTTTTTTGTACTTTGTACTTTATTTCTAACAAGGATTTTTCTTTCTTTTGCCCTGTTAAATCTTGTGGCTTTCTTTCCTGATTCCAATTACTGCCCAACTTCAGTTTGACACCATGTTTATACAAAGCTAATAAGACTAGTCTAAGTTCTCAAGGTTCTGTTCTTCAAAGTGTTTGTGTTGGTACGGCAAGAAAAGTGTAAAACACTAAACTGTGAAACTAAAGAAGAAAACCCCAAAAATAACGAAGCGATTTTTTTATTTACTTTTTTTTTACAACTCTTACATTCAATATTTTATAGTAAAACCAAAGAACAAAATAATCCAAAATGATTCTTTGACTGTAGATGAATCAAGCATGAGTGCCAGGATAAGGCACAATCTGCTGATATCATGTCTATATCAAGCAACCCCCCCCCCCTCCAACCATAATGGCTTCACTTATTTATTGCCTGCTTCTTTAGTTGCCAGTTGGGCCTCTGGCTAACTGACATGGATACATTCAGGGCAATATGGCTAGCAACCCCTACTTCATGGATACCCTTCCCCCACCTGCTCCTCCTCAGCCTACCTTCTTCCTGCTGCTCTGTTCTCATGGTGTCACTAATCCTGATCCTTAAAGGGAACTAACCCCGTTTGGAGGAAGATTCTGACCTAGCAAACTTGATCTTTTCCCGATTAGTCAGCCAAACTGGTGAGAACCTGCACAGGCCCATCAGCTGAAGTGTCATTTGAAGGCTCAGATTTTTCATCTGAAGTCTCAATCGCAATGACATGTTCGTAGATCAAAACAATGTGAGATACAGAGGGCTTTTCCGGCGGACGTCCGGTATTTCGCAGCAGATTACTAGAGTTCACGTCGCCAAGCTTAACCCGTAGATGGGATCCCTTCTACCTCACGCTGGTCCACATCTGGATTTGAGCTCAAACCAATCACCATGACCCGCTGTAATCTGCCAGGGCCGTATCATCAGATGGCTTCCCGTAGTCCCCCTCATTTAGCTATTCAGAGATTAGAGTTCTCCATCCCCCCCCCCTCTTTCCTCCCAGCGCGCACATGATGCGAGGAGCCGCCTGGGCTTTGCAGGACGAGCAGGAGCAGCTGAGCAGAAGCAATAACAGCCGGCCAGAAAGTTGCTCCCTCTTCCCAGGAATAGACTGAAAGCAACCAATCAAAACCTAACCTCACTGCTAACAGCTGGCCACAAAAGAAAACACAGGCACAGCACTTGGGAGAAGGAGGCAGATGAGAGAAAAGGCAGAGGCTCCAAGAGTGGCTTTTTCTCTCCCATTTTCCTGGCCGTCTCTCAAACTCCAGCCAGCCGAACGCAGCGCTGGAACAGACAAGAGCACCAAACACAAACGGAGGGGGATATTTCCTGCAGACAAACGATCCCGACGAGCCCTCTCCTCCAAGAAGCAAACAGATTATGTGAGCCGAAAGCCGAGCCAGGCTTTAAACAGAAACACTTGAGAGCGGGGCAGCGACATGGTTAGCGCGCCCTCCAAAAGCCGAGCTCGGCTCCGCACAGACAGCTCCGAAAACCAGAAGAAACCCAGCTACGACTGCAGGAAATCGAGCAGCCAGAGAGACGCACCGCTGAGGAGTCGTGAGTCCTTACCCGAAATCGTCCAGGGAATACATGTCACCGGAGGAGGCAGCACGGGACTCAAGCACAGGATGAGAGGAGGTATAAAGGGGGAGATTATGGAGAAGAGGGGGGAATGTCAACCAGAGAGGAGAGAGCCGCACATGCTGTCCAATGCTGCTTCAGCACACTCACTGTTTCCCCCCTTCTTCACATCCTCTGAAAACCTTTTTAAAAAAAGAGAGAGAGAAAAAAAAAAAGAAACCACCACGCCAGCAAAGCCTGAGACACAGAGAGTAGGAGGGAAAGAGCAGGCGAGGGAGAGGAAGAGTGTTGCAACAAAGTGAGGGAATGCAGGAGAGGGAGCGCGGCAGGGACCATGTGACCGCCGCAGACCAGTCACCTCTCTCCGCTCCCAGGATTGGACTGCTGTCTTTAAACCTCGGCGGAATCGTTTCCACAGGGGGAAATTACACGTTAGCCCTCCCAGAAAACGGGAGCGCCGCTCCACAGGCCTCTTCTGCCGCACCGAGGTCGGCTTTAGAGCCGGCCCCGCCGTTCCAAAAGCTGCCAGAACGCCAGCAGCCTTCCACTTCTATGGCCTCTGCTCTGCGCTCGGAAAGGACGACGGACTCACGCCGGCTGCGTGGACACACGGAAGAACTAACTAACTAACTAACGCCAAAGCTTTGCTGATCTTGTGTGTCTGGCTCGATTTGATCTGAACTTAAAGCAGGGGTCCATCTGGCCCAGGCTAACGTAGACTATTAAGCTTCTTTCCTACAGCAGTCCCACGTATGGGTGACAAACAAAGGGCAATCGGAAAGATTAGGAGGCTTTGTGCGGTTTAAAAATGGCAAGAAACATGCAGCCAGCAGCCGATGATAAGAAAATGAGAGGAGTTATAAACAAAAGACTCCCCGGTTTGTTTCATGAATTGTTAGAAGTTCACAGAATTTAAAATCCATTGTTGAATATTTCTAAATAAACCAATTTGCAGGATGTGAATCTTTACGGTTGTCTCTGCCAAAAGAGGTTTGTAAGCCTGTGGACAGTCGGGTTTAGTCATAGTTTCTGCAGACCAGCCCACAGTCCCAGAAAGGTGAGGCCTGCTCCTGGTGGGTGGGAATGTGGGCAGGGCCTGGACAGGATATCCACTGTTCCCGATTCCCAGAGACAGGAAAGAAATAGTCAACTTCAAGGTATCAAGAGGTTTTAAAATAAAATCAGGACAAAACGTTGAAATGCGGCGCTTTAAAGAAGGGAGATGAGAGAGAGATTGTAAATGTGGTTGGACATTTAAATGATACGCTGGTGAAAAACGACAACAGCAAAACAGAGAAAAAAGAAGAAAAACCAACATAATCATTTGGGACCATTACATGTCAGTAAAACCTGGCTGCTTCCAAACAGTCTCCATCCAGTCAACCGTTTCTTCTCAGGGCTCTTCAGTCATAATGTGTGCAGGCTATTTTTAGCTCACAGGAGTCATTTCTGTGATGTCTCTGGAAGTGTAAAGTGGTGTTTCTGTTGAGTTTGTTCTTTTAAAGCTGCGGCGGTGATCAATTCTGCAGCTTTTGGCAGCGGGAGTGCCTCAGAGTGAGGCCGCTGCTCTCTGATCAGGCCGGCGGACGGCGGCGGCGGCCTGCAGCGCCACAAATAACTCAGCATAATTTCCCCTTCCAGTGGCTGCACGCGCTCCTTCCAGCTTTCCCACGATGAGTCACCACAACACTCCATCACCCCACAGGAACGGCAGCAGGGACGCGCCTCGCCTCCCCCCCCCCCCCCCCCCCCCGCCCCCCACCCCCCCCCCCCGCCTCCCCGACGCCTTCCATCCCTTTCTAACCAACACGCCCATGTATCCAGGAGCAACCGGAACCAATGAAACCAGAGTGACGGAAGCAAGGTCTGACAAGGTAGGAACAACAAAACGCGCACACGCACAGAAACACAAGTGAACTCTGACACCGAAGCAGCCACAGAGGCCGCGAGGCCCTACAGGCAGCGGCGTTGAATCTTTCCCTTTTTCTACACTCTGCAGAAGAGGAGCCAGGTCACCTTGTTGCACTGCTCTGTGAAGATTTAAGACTTCCCTTTTGGACTTGAGTCAAGGAACAGATCTGCCTCCGGTGAAAATAAAACTCGGGACGGGACTCGAGTAGCTGAGCTCCACAGAAAGTGAGCAAACTGCCTGCTTATCCAGCTGGACGGCGCATGACTCTTACATATTCACCGGCTGGGCCTGAAACTGCTCAGCTTCTGGATTTGAGCTCAGCGAGGATGTGGGAGACAAATGATCCAGAATGGAATACGTTACTCGGGAGCATCTCTGACTTTACTCCTTCTTTTGCTTTTCCAACAACTCTATCTAGCTCCCTCTCTCACCCGTTCCTCTCTGAGGACGGAGTGTGGGGCGGCCAAACGCCGGCAGCTAAGGCGAAACCAGCGTGGCCCCGCATCTGAGGCGGGCTGTCGGAGTGAATCTGAGGCCGTGGCGCAGAGCGGCGCAGGCTGCAGCTCTGGAGGAGTCAGACTACATGCGGCGGGGAGAAGCATAAAAGGACTGTTGCAGAAATAGAAACGGAACACGGGCTCTGCTGCTGGTAAAGGCTCTGGGCCTCGGTGCACACCGCGCCGCCGCCGTAACCAGGGGGGGGGGGGGGGGGCTGGAAGGACCGGAGATAAGCTTGTGGGTGTACAGATTTCAGCAGGAGTCTCACATTCAACAGCCTGAAAAATGAAGCCTTCACGGATCAATCAGGAAACAGGCTTATGGAGGTGTTTGAGGAGAGGGGGGGTGGGGGTCTGTTAACCTGCCTGGCAACCACCAGAATAAACACCCTCCTCCTCTTGCCATGGTTACAAGACCCTTTACTTATCCTACCCCCCCTTAACCCCACCCCCCCCCCCCCCCCAGACACTCGCATATGGCGGTACTTAAATCATTTCTGGCGTAAGGTGCGCTTTATTCCAACCCTGTGAGCCGCTTCGCATCCGTAGAGAAATACGTGATGCTGTCGTTTCCATGACAACACTATCATGGCCCCGAGTCCCGGTGCTCGATAAACTGGGCGGGTCCGGCGGTGACAATAGAGGAGAAAAGAGGACGAGTTATTGACATGGCACCGACATGTCTGTGAACTGTAAACCACGCCAGTGGGGGGCAAAGGCCGGGAGGGGGGGGGTCCAAATATCCCCCCCCCCGACACGGTGACCGAACGACCCGCGAGACGTCCATAAAACGCTGCGGTTATTCTCGACGTCATGCCCCCGTTCGTCTTCTATGTGTCCGCGTGGTCGTGGAGGGGCAGAGTGTGTCCGCGCGCAGCTGTCATGAGCGCGTGGTGCTGGCCGCGGCTTACCTCATTTTTTGCCCCCTTTCTTCTCCTTTATCCAGCCGGAGGTGATGGCACCGGTCGATTTGTCCGCGGCTATTTCGGTATTAACAGTCCGGGAGGCCTCCTCCTCCTCCCCCCCCCTCCACCGCCAGCCTCCGGTCGGCGTCCACTCCGCGTCCAAAGAGGTATCACAGGCGGCTGAAGGCTCGAGACACGCTAAGCGACGACCCCAGCGTTTTCTTCCGTCCGCTTTGTGTTCCGTTGTCTCTGCTGACCGCACGCGCTGCTAACTCTCCCAAGGTCCATAGTCGGCTCGCGCTCGGCGGAAGACGGTGGACGGCGGTGGTCGGTCAGCTCCTTCATTCCATATTTTCTTCCCATTCAGAGCTGGGGGTTTTTTTATGGTTAGGTGGAGAGATTTTCTGGGGGGGAAACGCTAAGAAGGGGTTCGGAAGAGGAGGAGGGATCCGACCGGCTCAAGGCTGCCCACCTGCGGTGAAGACGTGCAAATGCAGCCCCCCCCCCACACACACACACACACCCCACCCCGTCAGAAGAATCCCACCAAAGGCTTAAAAAACCCGAAAGTATATGTTCAAATGTGCAAGCTTATTTTTTCCCTAAAGCTTAAACAGTGTGTATGCTCAGAGTTGATATAAAACAAACAAATACAAACACAAACTCATTGATTGACTCCTCATACACACACACACACACACACAGAAACACACACAGAAACACATCACTACCACACACAAAACATAAAACATAATGAAGCCACAGTCAACACATTAACAAAAACAGCACAGTTTAAAACACAACAACAAAAAGTTAAAGATAGAAAAGAACCAAAAATAACCCTTCAGAAAACTGAGACACCCCCAAAATGTCCCCAAACAGCTGTTGAAAAATGTTACATTCAAAGTTAGATGTAACTCTTATCATCTTGGTACGAATTGGATGCATTTTCAATTCTATTTTTGTGTATTATTTTCTAAATTTTATATTTTGTTAAACTTGTTTTTCGCTTTGGCTGAAAATACGTTTTTGCTCTGTTGTTTTGGCTTTTTTAAAAGATTGTTTTGATATTTTGGATTAGATCTGGTTTATAAAATGACGTGTTTATGGTTAAGTATTCTTTAAATGTTTTTTTTTTATTTGTTTTTTTTACAAAATATTACATTTATTGAGGCTATGCTTCCATTGTTCCTCAAGTTCAAATTTTTGGTTTCCGATTTTGGTCTTCATTTTCTAAACACTTGTGTTTCAAGTTGGATGTTGTGAGTTATTTGAAGTGGTTTGCTGTCTGATGTGGTATTTTGTACAATTTTAACAGTTTAAGTAATTTATAGCTATCCAGAAGCATTCCCCTAATAATTCAGATTTCAAATCAACAACAACAATGAACAAATGGACAGTCTGGAAACTAAAAGAAGGCACACAAAGAATTTCAGCTCTCAATTACATTCAGTCAGATTTAAAATGTTTAATGGTTTTGAATTGGCAGCGCAGTGTGTTAAGAGGTGAGACTGGTCACGTTAAATCCATCCCGTTTAGTTCAAATTTCAGCTGTTGTAGGACTTCTGAGGATGTTCTGGTCAGACTACTCCTTCGGCCGACGTGATGCTCGCACTCGAACCAGCTCAAATCCAGTTCAATATCACATCAAATGCACTCATGCACGTGTGCAAGCTCGGCGGGTCAGAGGGAGAGGAATGTGACGCGTTGTGTACCGTGGATCTGAACGACCGGGACAGTTTGTGGCGGCCGACACAGATTTCTGTGGCGTGCCAAAAACGAATGGGCCGGCTGCACGTTCACCAGGCGGAAGCATTGTGGAGAGAAAAAACACCTAAAGAAGGGGTTCAGTTCAGTAAACTCTTTCCTGCGAGCTCCTGACAGAGCAGGTCAGACAGTTACAGTGTTGTGGTCTCATCCTTCACCTCTGTTAACGTATCTCGGTGCAATTCAACGTAGACACATAGAAAAACTGGGTACACTTGGTTTCGATGCTCCTTGAAATCGAGACAAAAGATAAGACAAAGAACCTACATGTCATCCTAAAAAAAAAATCTAAAACAGTTTCAATAATCACTCACATTTTCCTCAGTTAAGTTTCAAGACTCTGGGCACATTTACCCACCCGGGACTAAACGGGGATTAGTTAATGGGACAGATCAAAGGAATTCCAACTGGCAGTGCATGATTTGAGATATGATCAATAAATAATTGAAAGTGTACATTTTCTAAGACCTGGAAGCGCTAATGTTTGGAATATATTTGGATGTTTTTTTTTTCCATAATAAAAAATATCGCAATTTGGCATGACCTCTGCATAAATATATTAGATTATCATCAGATTCAAATCTGTTTCATTGCATTTCCTACACTGAATAGGTAAATCAAGGCTGATACAAATGAATCAGGGACAATTTTGTCAAATGTAAACTGTGGGCGATGGCTTTGAATACTTAAGTGACAATATTTCTGGGGCAGACAAAGTTCTGGTGTGTTCATAAGGGGGAAGGGTCTTGCCTCAATAGTGCTTTCCTGAGTTGTTAAATACAGAATAAAAGAAAGTTTAACAGTTAGAAAACCCCATTTTTCTTTCCTTTCATAGTGTGTTGTGTGGGTCTCGGATCTCCCTTTCCGACAGGCTGAAACGGCTCTGACAGACTACAGAAAAAACCTCCTGAGTCACCGTCTGAGACGGGAGGGTCCTCTAAACAGGTGCTGGACAAGTCGGAGCCTTCGGTTCTGTTAAGCCAGACTCACTCTGTCTCATATCACAAGTCTACAGTACATTAAAAATGTTAAGAAAGAGAAAAAGAAGAGTAAAAAGGAGGACATTTCAAGCAGCTGTTCATTCCGCCTCCGCCTGTTCAACTCATCTGTGAGCAGCCCAGAAGGAAAGACTCAGTTTCTCTTCTTTCAAATCGCTTCAGTTCAGTCAGATCCACTTCTTGTTTAGTCTTCATTTAGGTTTGGTTTGGTTGGTTTTAGTACAGTTGGCCTCTCCGGGGGTGCAGTGGGCAGCAGCTGTGAGACGCTAACGCTTCCCGTTGGGGCCCTCAGACTATCCTCCACTGCAGGACGCTCATGTCCTTCCCCCCCGTCGACACGAGGTGGCTGTCGTCGCACAGGAAGGTCACGTTGGTCACGTGGCTGCTGTGGCCTCCATAAACATGGCTGGGAGCCTGTGGACAGACAACAGCAATCTGTCAGAGCACTGGGAATCCAGCTTAAATCCTTCTACCTCTCAACTCCCGAAGCGTCGCACCCTGAACTGTGAGCAGGGGTACGAAAAGAGGTGGACTTTCCCAAAGTCGTCCCCGGTAACCAGGAGGCTCTTGTCATTGGACCTGCACACAGCGTTGATGTCGGTGCCGTCGGACCCTTCGGGCCACAGGCCTGAGAGGAGGTAGAGAGACGTTTACTGGACTGACGCCGGGAGTGAGGAGGGTGAAGAGGGAGACATGAGGAGCCGTTTCTTACCGAAGACCTGGAAGCCCAGAGTGCAAGTGCTGGTCCCCCATTCGATATCTCTGGTGGTCTCCACACTGACCACCTGTTTACACACTGACGGGATCCCTGAGAAGACCGGAAGAGACGAACCACGCCGCATTTAGTTTTCGGCATCATTTGGCAACATTTCGACCAACCGGGACGGTAAAACCGGAGAGAGAGCAGGTCATGCTTACAGTACAGTATCTCATAGTCGCCCGAATTTGACACCAGGTACTGGGAGTCCACTGACCAGTCCAAATGGGTGATGAAACTGGAGTGGCCCTGGCAAAAGAGAAAACTTTCTTTACAGAAAACACAACAACACAATAGGTTCAGAGAAAAAGTTTCCAAAAGATATTGATATGCAAGCCCAGCCTGGTCTGACTCAGAGAGTCGTGGCATAGCCTTTCATCGCATCCGTGCTGACACAGAGAGGCAGGAGAAAAACCAAAATAGAGAGCTAAGCAGGGAACTAAATATAAAGATGCTCACTGAACACTTCCCCACTCGGCTATATTTCCTCCCATTTTCCGCCACGGCGTAGATGTAGATGTAGTTGTCGTGGGAACCAATAGCCAGGAAATTACCATCTAGAAGAGAGGATTCAGGGACATTTAAAAAAAGACAGAATGCTAATGCTTAAAGTGTCAAGTTAATGACTGGAGCGTTGACTAATTATACGATGTCAGTTGGATTGATGACAGAGGAAGCCACGTCTGCGACAACAGGCTGTGTCAGCAATCCAATAATTCATTCAATGAACAGAAACGATCAGTCCACTAATAACACGGTGCAAAACATCCCGTTATACTTTGTGTAAGCAACATATGCTTGGGCAAATGTTTCAGCGCGGACACCTGATGTGTTCTAATGATCCCAATGTTATTGGGAAAACAGAACCCGCTGTCAGGTGCTGATGCCATACCTGGTCCGTAGCGCATCACGGACAGCTGCTCATTCCCATCTGTGTGCACTGTGACCAAATCCTTAGAGTCTGTGTCCAGCACCAGCCACCTGCAGGATCGGCAACAGACTGCTTCACAATCTGGGTTCACAGCTGCTTAACAGTCACCGCAGGGTTTATTAAACCATCTTCACAACACAGCCAGCAGCTGAGTGCTTTTCAGTGATGGAATTTGTACCTGCCAGTCTGGGTGCCGATGGCAACCACCGCTCCACACGGGTGGAAGCCTGCCGACTGAGCCGTATCCTGTCCAGACAGAAAGAGGAGATCGTTTTTGGATCCTCTCTCATTTTGCGAGCACTTAAATGATTTGTTTGAATTTTTCCGTCAGACCTAACATTCATGGAAATATGTGTAAGGTCAAAGATAATCTAGTGAAATGCCACTGAGTTCGAGGCCAAACACGGTCCAATGACAATGATATTTTAAAATTGTTAGCTTCACAATATGGAGTCATTTTACTTTGTGTGTATGAAATCATACAAGACAAAGAATAAAGGCATAACCAGTGTTAGAAATATGTATGAAGAGAAGACTGCGCTCATAAAAATGTCCACCAGCAGGCTGCTGCTGTTTCCCAAAGACACCAAAGCCTTTAAATCTTTGGAAACCTTATCCACTGTGAGCTGGGTGTAATTCCCAACGGCTGGCTTCAGGGGGCGGCGTTGATTAAACTTACTTCGATGCTCTTGGCCCAAATGAGCTGATGGACGCTGGAGTCCCACAGGCAGATCTGCCTGTCATAGCCACAGGTCAGGAACTGAGGTTTACACGGATGGACGGCCAGACCCCACAACTCGTCAGTGTGACCCTGGAAAGAAGAGCTGACGGATTAACTGCTGGACAGAGAGAACGATAAATAAAGTCCTGCATTGCAAGGAAAAAAAGAGGGTGATCTCTACAGAGTGATACACGTACCTGTGTAATTGGTGTGAATTCTCCATCCAAACTTCCCTGTAAGACAAAGTTCTTGGTGGTCCCGATGAGCACGGTCTCCCCTCTGCCCTCTGCTATGGTCCGAATTGGGCCGAACAGTTCTGGCACCTGCATGGAGAAAAAACACCCAAACCATTAAATAAACCTTACATGGCATAATGTGGTTTTCAGGAATCAAATTAGACACGAGTCAGCCATAAGCATCGTCACTACAGATATCACAGAAGATCCTCTCCCCATTGACCACTGGGATAGGCTCCAGTTCCCCCCCGTGACCCCATATGGGAATAAGCGGTATTGATAATGGATGGATGGATGTAAGTGCATCCTGTTTATGTAGCTGTCTTTAAAAACATGACACTTTATCTTCAAAAGAATGCAGAAGACGGTGTGAAGAATTGTTTTTAGAATGAGTACAATTTGTTCTCTGAGTATAGTATCCCCCACCCCAACCCCCCCATATGGAATGGCCCATACTAAGACCATTCCATACCCTCTACCTCGTACTTGTTAAAGTCTGTTCCTTGAGTTAAAGTAAGACAATTACTACAATGTGCTACCCATGTGCTACCCAATATTACCCATACGTTATTGGCACAGTTTATGGAGGCTTGTTGCTTGTTAAAAAGGTGGTTAACAGTTTCCGTGAAATGTGCTTAGTTTTTTAACATGGCTTTATTGATGCAGTCATCTCGTAACAGATCGTTATTGTGCTGTGGAGCTTGAAAAGTATGACCAAAGCATTTCACCCCAACAATCAGAAGCAATCGATAAACTTGAACGTTTCTATTTTGGAAGAGGGTTTTTTTCACCTCCACTGCTTGTGTCTTCTGGTAGCTGCTGTCCCAGGAAACAAGCTTGCGGTCTTTCCCCCCAGACACCAGTGTGCCGTTCCTCAGCATGCACACAGCAAAGATGCTGCCCTCGTGAGCTCCTTGGATGACGTGGCTGATGCGATTAGTGCCTGCATAACACAGACAGAATGAGATAGATGAGAAGGCTCAGTTGGAGGGAGACAGGCCGACTGCCTGGGGAGGGCAGAAGGCTGATCGATAAAGAAACCAGAGGCAAAGACGCTTCATCCGAGGATTAGATCTCCACTTTTATCAATACAAAAGTGCCCACAAGACCCAGTCCTGCTCTATTTTCAGTGTGACCTGACTTTAACCTCCGATTTCTTGACAGCTCAACCGCAATGACAAGTCTTGTTGGGCTTGTGACCACGAAAACATCTACGTCCGCAGACTCACACAGATTTTTGTCTCTGGTTTCTCATGAACTTGATGACAGACTTGCTTCTGTTAGCATCCAAAGAGACTCCCGGGCATGGTTAAATGTCCACAGGACCAATGTCTTTCTTTAAGAGAAGTTTTGTACCTTTTCCCCACACCAGAATGTTTCCGCTCGAGTCTCCAGTGATGGCGTCTCCATTTTCTGCAAAGGTCACACACAACACAAACTTGGGCTTCTCCTGTTTCTGGAACAAAGACAAGACAAACAACATTTTTAAAAAATCTGTATGTGCATTTACACAAAGCACCATTGCTTTACTAAACATTTCAGCTCTTCTTCTTACCTCAAACAGCCCTTGTTTCTTGACCAGCATGCCTTTCTCCATGGTCCAGAAATAGAGATGAGACTTGCCACAAGTCACAATGATGTTGCTGTCTGTTGGGTGAAAGTCTGCAGCAAACACTGACTCGTTGGAGCACTGAGCAGAGCCACGTGAAAAAGGAGAGAGTTCGGGTTAGCGGAAGAAAGAAAATCAGAGCAAACCCAAAGCACATCTTCGCCCACCTTAACCTCGGCCAGCCTGTCCTCTCTCTGCCAGTCCCACACAGAGAGGACGTGGTCGTTGGAGTCATCTACCACGCAAAGCGTGTTTCCTCCATTCTGACATGCAGAAACAGGCACAAGTCTGCGTTTTACTCCTCGAAAACATCACAAAAAAGGAAGGAAAAAGAAAAGAGCGGGCGCTGTGTTTCCGTACCGACTTGGAGAACGCCAGGCAAACCAGCGCTCGGTCAAAGAAACCTGCTCCTAGGACATGGAGGGTGTTGAGGCTGACAGAGTCCCACACACGGACGTGAGGAGCCAGCTGCGGCCAGGAAACACAAACATGGAGGAAACTTCATCAGTGATGGCGAACGGGGTACATTCACCCAAAGAACCCGAAAAGGGCCCAAATGTGAAACTGAAACTGAAGTACGTAGTTCAATAACTGTATCAGTGTCAGACCGTTCTTACTTTTCCATCTGAGGAGGTGCCCGCCACCTGGCCAGTAGCTATGGTGATCTTATCAGGGTGGACAGCAAGGCTGAAGGTGTGGGAAGCAGGCGTTAACAGTTGGACACATTCTCGACATCAAAAGAAATCTTAGCAGGCCCGTCCTTTGAATAAAGCTGCACTACAGCTCAGCTGAAACACACCGTCAGGGCTGGTGCGTGCGGGGAAACCAGACTTTGAGGAAAAAAATTAAGCATGCAGCAGGGTAGCCACATCTTGTAGACGGTGTAAAGTTCAAACACTTTGTCTTCAAGGGAGCAAAAACAAATTAGTCTGCAATCCATCCTCTGATCTGTAATCTGAATAAAAGTCGAGCTTTTATTAACCTAATAGGTAAATAAAATAATTACCAGTGACTACTTAAGACAGCACTCACTGTACATCATGATTACTTCAATGTCTCCGTCCACTGTTACGACATTTTGGTTTGCATGGACTAAGTGAGCTTCAGGTTTGTTGAAATGGGGTTAAAAACATAAAAAAAAACGTACCATTTGATGTCGTCTGTGTGTCCGGTGTAGTGTCTCTGCAGCTGCTCGTCCACATTGAACAGGACGACCACCGAGGCGATGAAATACACCGTCTCTCCGGTGGGAAGCAGGTAAAGGTTGGAGCGACAGTCTCGACCGCGGTAACCGTAGCTGAGCAATACAAGGGTCAAGGAACACAAATACAATACCCCCTAAAAAAAACACGAATGGTATTTTTTCCTTCGCTTCCACGTAAAAGGAGACAAGTCTTTAAAAAAGGACACGAAAATCGTTACATCTCACTGTGGACGTGTGCACGGTATATTAGGACTGGAATCAATAAAACTAAATAAGTAGGCCACGTTGTGATTTTTTTTGTTTTCTCTTTCTCCATTCGATTTGGTCTTTTTTTGCCTTTGCCTTACAGCCTTTTTTCCTTTGGATTTCAGAACAACATGCCACATTCATTCCGTTTCCAGCCAATGACAGAAACAAAGAGCCCTACAAATTAAACCAAATAAAAATAAAAAGGCACAAGAGGAGCTGCTGACTGGTTGTGCCACCAGCCTGCAGGCGGTGTGCAGGTGATTCCTGCAGAGCCAGGAGCTCCATCCGGCACACCACGGGGACCACAAACACCTGAAAGGGCAGGGAAGCACATTGGTAGCTTCTTCTGACACTTACATCCCAACCTGAGCTTATTTTCTGCATATAACATCCTTTCTCTCTTTTCCTGCAGAAAACTTTCTGGCACCATAAACAGTTGAGCCAGATCTTTACTGTTTCGGACACGAGCTGAATCAGAAGGATACACCCAGTCCAGCTTGAGTTTGTTGCCGGGCAGCTCGGCTCTGGCCTCCAGGCAGTAGCTGTCCACCTGGTCTTTGGGCATGTACATGGTGATGGGGCGGCCCTTAAGGAACATTTTCACATAACCTTCCTCTGGAAAAAGGCAACAGAGACAGTCTGTGAGATCATGTGTACACGTGCAAACACAGATGGAGATCACAGGCCTGTTTTCTATCAGGTTAATGGTGTCAGACGTTCACAACACAAAAGACACGGAAAATGGTGGTCTGAATGGCAGTGATGATGCATGGGAGGATTAGAAGAAAGAACAATGTGAGGGGATGTGATGGGATTTAGATTTTGATGTAATGACAAACAACCGAAACCAACTCAAACAAAGCTTCATAACTGGCTTTATTAGTCATTTTCAACACATCTTTGTGACAACAGAGGGCACAAAATGAAAAGTGCAAACACTTAAAACGTTCCACTCAGCAATCGTCAGCTCAGAGCAGACATTTACTGACACAGAATGCAGACACAAGCAGAGCAATGCAAATGTCAAAAGCGAAATAAATAAACAAAATACTGGGAAGCTTTAAAAAAAAAAAAGAATAAAATCAAATAAAAATCCTCATCAGTTTTAAACATATCGGCAACAAAAATAAACCCTGTAGAGAACATCAAGGGAAGCAAAACCCAAAAAATTAGCCTCAAAGCCCACAAATGCTCATTACACGTGGGCAGCAGCTGGGTTAAAACGATTACAGATAAAGTTATGGGGCTTGTTCAGTTCTTGTTTTAATCTTTATGAAGTCATTTTATTTTTCTCTGAGCCTTCAAGATGGAAATTTTGGAGGAGTAAAGAGTGCCCGTGCTCTTTTATTCATTTAGCTATTCATTTAAAATGGCACACCTCTGATAAAAACCGTGAATCTGGCTCTACAGGTTTGTTCCTAGAATAAACCCTAGAATCTGATTAACAGAGAGCCGTTTCATTGTGAGATCGTCATTTTGAAGCTAGTAACAAATCTGGAAATAATGGCTGGGTGATTTAACGGGGCTGACGTAGCTGTGAGCATCAATGGCAGACAACAGGGCCCCGGACTTCCTCAGGTGGAGGCTACAGTTCGGGCTCTTTCTGAGCGACGACACCTTGGCGGCTGCATCGTTTCTGGCCACGCTGGCCTTTCTGCTCTCTGAGGCTCCCCGGGGGACGGCCACCGACCGAGCCGTCACAGCTGTGGCTGTGGGGCCGCTGCTCTTCCCCGTCCGTTTGGTGGAGCGGTTGAGGTAAATCTGCACTGTGACTATAACGCAGACGGGGGGGGAGACAGCAGGGGAATGGTGGTGACGGAGCGGGAGGGGTGAAGGTTGCCGGGGGCCGGGTGGATGCGAGGGGGCCAAAAAAAGGAGCAAGTAGGATAAGGAGGCGCGCGGGAGGGGGGAGGTTGGTAGAAGTTAGAGTCATTTTAAGGGCTGTTCTTTGCTCATATTTTTGTAGAATGATAAAGACACCAACGAAACACAAACTAGCTCAAGCAGACCAGGAAATCTGAGTGCTCATAGAATCCAGCTTAATTCTGCTCTGAATCCAAACAGGCGAGAATTTTACTAGAAGTAAAGAAGAAGCATTTGGAATAAATGAATCAATCATGTAAGGAAAAAATCTAGATTTTGGGGGGCAATTATGAGTGTTCGTCACACATAATTCGTCAACAAAAGCTGTATGCATTAGTATGCTTTACTTTATAGTTCCAGAATTTCCTGATCAAACGAAAGTCAAAATTTCCTTCAGTTAGAATCCAGTTTAGTATTCATGTCAGTCGAACACTCCAATAATAATTAGGAGGAGAATCTGACTTTATGACCACTCAGACTTTATGCTAGTCATATGGAGTCTCTCAGATTTAAAGCATGTCTACAGAAGACCGAGCAGCTCCGGGGCGGACATCTGTTAAGATTCTTCACAGATCGGAACCGTTTCTTCATGTGAAGGGCTACGAGCATCGGGGTCAGTGGCTGTCATTATGTTCAGTCTCTATAATATAAATGTTCTTATTCCTTTATGTAATTAGTGCCAGATTTCCTAATTCCCTACATGGATAGGGAACCAGGAAATAAACCATGACACTTTTCCAGCTCCTCAAAACAAATGAATGGAAATATGTAAAGGGGGAAGCCCCCTTCTCTGTTAGGTTAAATGTACTTTTCCACTGACGTGTTTCCAACCTACATAGTGATTAGAAACACTCATCATCAACCTAAAATGCTGGGATACAAAATTCCATGTGCTTTCACTGACCAAATGTTTAGATTGTCTTGGCTGACGTTTGCTCCAAAGATGGAACCCTCCTCTAACAAAACGAGGTAAACATCAGCATATATGGGAGGAAATGAGCCTGGCTTTCTTAGCAGCTCTGCAAATACTTCACTGAAGGGGGATTGCACACAAACAGATGACGGTTCAGGCCGTGTGAGAGGGCCGGGGGCTGACAAATCCAACAGAGTTCAATAGGAATTACTCCGAAAAAAGGGAGAGAGAGAAAGACTGAATGTGTTTGTAATGCAAAGTCTGATTCTGAGGGGAGGGCACAACAGGAGCGGTGACAATCTCAGGAAAAGCTCAAAGCAACTGCAGTAGCGAGTGTCAGACATCTTTGTGTCGTTACTATGGTGATAACGCCTAACTGCCTACGCGAGGCAGCGAGCGGACAGACGTGCGTCTGGTGAAACAGCAGCAGCAGCAGCAGCTCCTTCTGTGGCGGAACAAAAGTCCAAACACTGCACACGCACTCTGATGCAGCACTCTGTGGAGGTTAGGCGGGACTCGAAGCGTCGACGACTTCAGCCTTAACACGTCTAAGGGGAAGGCAACTTTCACACACAGCCTTTCAACCCGCTCCTGCCCCTGTCTGGACAGCTCTCTGAGAAAGAAATGTAGGTGGGAAAATGCCAAATTAATAAAAAGTTATTTTGGGGCAAACTCGAAGAGGAGAGGATTTGTGCTGAGAGGTCAGAAAAAGGTATTTTGCAGTGTCCAGAGAGCTGTGCAGGCCACGGGGGGAGGGGGCAAACCGGGGTAAGACGGGGCCTGGCCTACCTTTGCAGTGGGTCACACGTCGGGTCCCTTGTAAAGGTCACAGAGAGACACACAAGCACCAGGTGAGGGGTGGCATGGCTTTTCTCTGTCCCAATGTGAGTGCACTTTCAGTTTCCAGGAGTTAGTGAACAGCAGCGCCTGTCCACGGTGCTCTCAACGGTCCAGACTCTTAGAGGGACATCTAAAACTACTTTTTTCCACTTTTGTCTTCAAAAACAAAGACATCTAAAGGAATTTTTGGATTTTCAAATCTATGTTAATATATGATAGAACCATAAATGGTATATTCTACATAACATTTATTTTTGTTTTGAAAAAATCCACGATGCTGGCATTTAAGTCATCATTTTTTTCTGTTGCTGGTTGATGCGACACCGTCGTCATCGATTCAGCAGGCTCCGAACACAGATTTTTAATTTTACCAATACATATGCACAGAAGTATGAGGAGTTTGGTTGAGCTTCGACTCAGGCTGCTTGCCTGAACTGGAAAAGACTGAAGCCAGGTATGTAAAGCCGAGGTGAAGAAAAGCATTCAATCCATAGAAAATCAATAAGGCACAAGAGAAGGGAGTTCAGATCAAGACTCATTTAATATTTACTTCCATTTTAAATGTTTCCCACTTTCTGTTTAACAACAAACGGTGTAGAACTTGCTCCCATTTTCTGGTACATTGTCACAGCATAAATAATTGGACTGAAAGTTTATCTTATGAGTCTTTTCTTTTTTCTTTTCTCATTTCAGTTTGTGTGTTTCCTAAACCACAAAATATGACACAAACCCATTTAATGACAGCTTAGATATACAGAATTTCAATCTGATACAAATTGTTGTCCTTTTCATGAACACAGTCCCTGTTTGGGTTGTGACAACTAACCAGAAATACTTTTTCTAAACCTACTGATGGGAATGGCAGCTGCCAAGGATTTCAGATTTACTTTCAGTTGTCAAAGTTAGTTGACCCACAGTATCCCTGTGCAATTATTTACAAGATTGACCCATAAGGGGAACACTAAGTGCATATGTCCATTTGAGAAATTCTTCAAATAAATTATACATGTAAAGTTTAATTTAATTCAGTACAGCTTTAGGAGGCTCCTGGCGCTCAGTGCAATGTGTTTGTATTAAGAATCTCTTTGGAAGAAATGGTGGAGCAAACTTTACCAATCAGTTAAAAAACTAATGGTGCTGTAACTGAAAGAAAAACCTCTCAAATGAGTGACAAATCGAGCAAAACAGTGCAGACTGAGTTTAAAAAAGATGGATGGTAATTATGATGTGAGGATGAATTTATGGTAAGAAAAAGGATGATGGAATGGAAATGAATGTACAACACCAACATTTAAGGCATTCTCTGTGCAGAATACAGTTCAAGGCATAAACTCATATACGAGTTCACAGCAATTTTGATCTTTTATTTTTGTTATTTAAGGGAAAAAAATGCCTTGAAATCTGACAAACAAAGAGAACCACTGAGTATCTGCTGTGTGTGGCTCTTAAAGGGTAGTAACATTGGAGGAAAACTCAAGGCTATTAGGCTAAGCAGCCATGTTTTCTTACCTGCATTGAATACTGGATCCCTCTGCTTGCTGCAAAGCAAACGAGTAAACACACAGCAGTCAATCAGAGACCAAACTCCAGATAAACCAACTCTTTTTTGTCATTTGAATGTTTCGCATTAGAAAGTCATGTGTCTTTTCTGCACTGCTACCCTGGAAAACTGTTCTCCTATTTGTCGAGACAGAAAGTGTGTGAGCAGGCCTGTAAAGTGGGAAATCTCGGGCTCTGTTGGTTACCTGTCACTCCTTTTGCCGCTGGAGTTGCTGCCGGTGGACCCGGCACGAGTGCGGTTGCCCTTTGAGTCACCTGAATCTTTCCGGGTGAGAGTCCCCATGTGTTCGTTTGAGTTGGCTCTCCTTACAGTGCTGTCAGGACGGGCACAAAAAAAAAGACAGAACAGTGAGTCCCCTGATGCTGTTTTATTGTACAGACCTCCAGACTAACACTCTTAAACAAAAACATACCTGCACGTCAGAATTTATCTCAGGTTTTTCCCATGGGTGGTGGGTTTTAGTAGCAGTGATACAACTGAAATTTTTAGATTAAATTATAAAATGAATTTCAATATTTATTACTGAGAATGTCTGAATAGTTAGGAAAACAGCATTTGAGTTTTTCTGGACTGGACTGGCTGTTGTGTGGAGATCAATAAAGAGGTCGGCACTTGTGTTTGAAAAAAAGCAAATACACACAATGTGTGCTGCGATGATTTATAACAATGGAAACTCATTTATAAATCAGAAATCTATTTAATGGCTAATAGGAAGTAAATTATAAGAGCAATGTTTTGCTCACCGTTATTTCTCAGGGATTGAAACCTTAATGTTATTTTTCCTGTCTAAAAAGGCTGAAAGGTTAACAGAAACACATGTTCGACACATATTGTTTTGACTGGGAGATTCATCAGAGCGTATATAAATATTCAGCTCTTTTGCAGCCTTATGGTATCTGGTCATCGTGCCACCTCTCAGACTCTAAAGTGGCTCGCTGTGAGAATTACTAAATGTGAATAAAGCAGAACGCTAGAATACCTAATTAGAAATTGGATATGCTTGGCAGAGCAAACAATGCATCTCAAAGTGACAAAAGACCGGTACAGAGAATTAAGAGGCATACTGGCCCAGCCAGCAGTCTGTTCCATCAGATTATCATCCGCATTAAACCGCCTGGAAAACACCAAAACACGGCAAATGTCAACTATTATAAATTATTGAAGTAGGTCCACGACCTTTAAATGCGTAACCTATTGTCTCACATCATCAACAGCATAATGAAATGTGATTTTTTTATGTGAGGAACAATTTGGGGACCAAATTAGTTGGTTCCTTCCACTTTTACCTCGTTTCCTCCGCCGTGGTGATAATGACTGCAGCATGCGTGCAGAGCAGCGGAGATCTGCATATTTGTGGTGCAGACAGACTGCCTATTCTCAACAAAGAAAAAGCTCCATCAGCAGGCTGATGACCAGTAAGCCAACACCTAATCCACCCAATGGGAGAAAAGTCTATTCAAACCCTGAAACCGGCCAGTGGCCGTTATCCCTTCTGGAGAGGCCATGTGCGCTTGTTCTCTAAAGAACAGCGAGAGAAAAGAGAAATGAGTGTGTGCTGTGTTGTCCCATGAGGAATCATTCAGTCATAATTGGGCCACAGGGTATTTCGGGCTGATGGCTGCAAGGACGGAGCTCTGAACAAGCTGTAGTGTAGATGAATCCAGGACAGAGGTAAAAACCAGCGCAAACAGGGAGTGTTAGCCATGACAGAAATGGTGAAAAAAAATAAAATAAATGAACAGAACACTGTGATTGTATTAATGACTGAGATGTAGTTCAGCAGGTGTTAGCTGAGGGATGCAGCCATAATGTCATACTCGAATCAGCATATTTTATCTTTGGGGGCTCTCACCTGAGGGGCAGATAGAGAAATCTGGTAGAACGAGGCAGAGAAGACAAACCAGACATCACAACGGGGACAAAACATTAAATTAATCCGTCTTGTTAAAAGTCACTGAGGTTGAGTAATTTATACACAAGACAGACAAAAGCCAGAAATGCAATGGCTCACGGAGAGATGTGATAAAAAACAAAAGGACAAGTTGAGTGCCTGCAGGGATGGAGGCCCCAGCTGCAACTTTCTAATTGCCCCAACAAACACCATAAATATGCTGTGTCAGTAGAATTTAATTTAAACCCATGAAAAAAAAGAGGGAAAAGTGCTCTCTCAAGCCCTGAAATGACACTGGTGCTATATTTGTGCAGTGATGAAACGACTCCATACCTCTTGCTGGCTGCTGTGCTGGTGTCTTTCCTGGATCCAGATCCAGATGGCGAGGGCAGAGTGCTGCTGCCCTTCTTTGGTAGGATGGTCCCGTTGTTTACCGTGGGCCGTAATGGCAGGGTGGCGATCATTGGCCGGGCTGGGGGGGGGGAGAGAACAGCAGCAGAGCTGGAATTAAAGTCGGCAGCTGTAGGATGTTTTAAGTAGTCTGATGGAGAGACCTGATGGAGCACGGGCTGGAAAGGCTGCTCAGAGTGTATTATTGCTGCTTATACAACATCTGATTTCCATTTAATGAGGAAATAAGCTGCTGAAGCGCTTTGGGATGAAAAGCTGTCCTGTTTTACAGCTCGGGAAACAGCACACTCAGCCCTGCAGGTATTCTACAACTTGCACCTACTAAGAAACACTGACTGAGGATTACTCTTTCCACAGAAATCTCCATTTTACCTGATTTTTTATCTCAACATCCTGAACGATCAAAGACAAGAACCCCACCATAAGCAAACATTTCAGACCTGAATTTAACAGTCCCACAAGTCCATAGCGACCCAGTGTGAAATTGTCCTCAGTCAAAATATCCTTCCCCCCCTCAGCTTGTTTAGAGGTGTAAAAGTGTTGCACCGTTTATAAAACATTGACTAATTCAATGGATTTACTATTTTAAATGAATTTCTCATCCATTTCTAAATGTTTAGTAGAGGATGTGACAATCACATCCACACTCACATGCAATACCTTTAAAGCACAATATTTAAAAAAAACCCAAGCCGCAGCTTTATCTGCAGTCATAAATGTTTAATAGACGGGGTTCCATTCAACAGACCCACACACACACACGCACGCACACGCACACACACGCACGCGCACACGCACACAGGCTGATGCACTCATTTTATCAAGCAGTCATTACACAGCAGAGGCAAACTGAGGTTTGTAATTTGGTTTGCATTTTAAAGAAAACAAATGTGTGTCCAGGATTTTCCTTGTGCAGTGTGTGTGTGTGTGTGTGTGAGTGAGTGTGTTTATGTTCAACTCGCTGAGGCAGATCATTGTACTTCAGTGGTGGGATGCCGTTTGCTGGTTTCCAACCAATTACAGCAGAGAATAATCAGAGGAGGCAGCCTTAGGTTTAAGTCATCCTCCTATTTTAGTGAAACTCCATCCATCTGGTTATTTCTGAGACAAAAAACCAGCACCAGCTCAGAGTCCTACTCTGTTTCTGCCTCCTCACTTGAATGCACATTCAAGCACAGAAACTCATGAAGTGCAGTTGATCTGACATGCACATGTCTTCTACCTCTGGGGTGAAGATATTATTTAAGGAACAAATAAAAATAAGCAGCTTCACGTGCAGAAATGTGTTTAAAAAATGTGCAATAAAAATGAAAAAGTCTTTTATATATGTCTGATGCTTGGTACTCTACTATTTTTTATTTATTTCCCCCTTCAAATACAGTCAAAGACTCTGTAGGAGCAGTTTTTTTGTGATTTGTGATATTAAAAAGACACAACAAAAGTGGAAGGGACAACTCAGTGAGAGGATTTTACAGGTGAGGAAAGAAGCTGTGTGGCTGAGTGTAAATTTCACTTCACAGCAAAACTAAACCCTGGAGCTGGTCAGTTTAGATCAGAACATAGACTCAAAACAAACTGAAACAGCACCCGGATCTTAACACGAAAACCCCACATGAAACGTTTTCCTTCACTCGTCTTCAGCCTCTATGACCGTGCGGTGTACAGGACCAACGGTGCACGTCTGACTAATTCCCTGCTCCGACGGTAAGAAGATGCTGTGTGCAGGCAGTGATATGCACGCGTACACAGCAGGCCGGTGCAGACAGACTACACAGTCAGCCTACCTGGCTTCCCAACAATGCTGTCAGCTGAGGGAGACTTTCTCACCATAGCGGGTTCTACACATGTAACGTGTAACGCATTAAACACGACACGGGCCGGGAGAAGGGGGGACAGGGGGAAGAAGAGATTCACAACTAGTCAGAGGAGGAAAAAACAGCTGAATCTGCAGGAGACATCATCAGCACACAGAGACGGAGAGAGGAGATTCCACTAAAAAGCATGCTTATGGGGCAGCTTGTATGTGAGCTACCAGCCCGTTTTACTAGTTCCTGAGAGGCGGTCCTATGTGGAGATGAAGATGAGGGGCTGTGCGTTACCTTTGGTGGGTCCTCTTCGAGACCCCATGGCCTGCTGCTCCTCCGACAGGTTGAGTCTGCGCACCACGTCGGCCAAAGCGGACTTGAGCAGCTGGATCTCGTCCTCCTGCATCTGGACCCTCTGCTCCAGGGAGGCGATGCGGTCCGTCACCTCCATACTGCTGGCTGCTGACGCACTGTCATCTGAGCGGAGGCGGGGAGGAAAACACTACTTCAATGACTCAAATACAGTATGAAGTCACTTTTTTATAGTCAGGAATACGAGTCAGGTAATGCCACACCACCTTGTGCCATAACACACGATTATCTTGGATGAGCTCTGTAGGGAAAACAACTAGAAGGGGCACACAAACAGCATTTATTCCGATCCCGTGGTCCTTGCTTTTGTCTGTGTTTTGGTGTGAAAGTTTTTGCCCTCGACGATTATTTTTGTTTTCATCCGAAATACATCGGGTGTCTGTTCTCTCATCCAACTTAACCCATTTTTATTACGTCTCCACCTGACAGCCAAAGGCTGACAAAGCCCCGGCCACCAGGGTCCACTTCATTAATAACACACACAAAAGACACACGCACGCGTTCGAGCGGGGGTCTCCATTAAGTCTTTGATGTCACAGCGGTTTGATGAAATATTAATGTAAATCACTTCTGTGTTTTCCCAGAAGACTGGTAATAACAATCTGATGCATAATGCATTAGAGAGCCGGCTTTGGGTGATTAGGCGGATCCATGTTTCCACTCAGAGTCTGCGTTAGACCCCGACTGCCTGGAACATTAGGGAAATCTGAAAAAGCTCTCCAGCTCAATAAAATGCTGTTCCTTAACAATGAAATACAGCAGTCTATGATTTGAGACACTTTCCTTTGTTTAAAGCTAAGCAGCTTGTTGAGCATCAGAGTAAAGGGTGATAAACAAAAGCTTCTCAGGGACGCCATGACATCCTTGACCCCACTCTTTAAATTGCCGAATAAAAGGTGGATCAGTTGAATTGCAGAAATCCTTTTTTGATGAAACAACAATCCTGATTTAAAGTGAATACATTTTTGGGTGGAAAGTACAACACTTCTGCATGTTGTTACTCTACTTAAATGACATAAGTAGTTTGAAACAAAAAAACCCACAAACATTGTATGTAATTAAAAGACGACTAACCTCGTCATGTTAACAACTTTTATGCATCACCGTATAATATCATCCCATAAGCAACATCTGTAAGTGAACTGGAAAAATATGAAAAGTCATTTCACAGATTAGTTTTGCGGAAGGCCAAATTCCATTAAAGCGGGACTTGCTGCCAATTGCCTGTTATGAATTGTCTGAGTCGGAGACTCCTGTTAATACTGGATGGTAAGCCGGCGCATTAAGCCGATGGGACACATGAGGCTTGTTGCAGAAAATGGAAATCTGAATACAAACAAAATGACTGAAACAACCAATTACAGCTACACACAAACGCACACAGACTGGAGATGTGACTGCACACGCAAAAAGCCCTCGGATGCACAGTTGAACAGAATTAAGCTGAAACCCCTTCAGACACTGCAGTCGTTTTTCCAGCTCCATTTAATTAAAAATAAATAAATAAATAAAAAAACTTCCCATCTTATTACTCCAATTGTCATTTCCAAGAGCAACTGTTAGTGTCTGAGCACATAAAGATATCCAGCTTTGATGTTGGTATCTTTCTCCTTCAGACAAAAAATGTGGGCTTTACTTTTGGCCATCTAAACCAGCCTTGAAATAATTTAGATGGCTGTTGGGTGTAAAAATGCACAAAGCTGACCTTAAACGAGGAAAAGAAATTGTGACACAAATGACAGCAAAAGTGGCAAATGTTCTATTTTAAAAAAGAATCCTAAAGCCAAATTTGAATAAGGTTAAATAGGTTTGTCAAACAGGACTCACAGAATGCAGAGATCATTTTACTCGTCTTTTATCAGAGCAGACCGATTTGCAACATTCCTACTCATTCTGAGAGGACAAAAGTATTTCAGAAATGTTTTCACCTGAAATAATGAACATGAAACATGTTCCTGCCTGGTTGAACTGTACCAACATAATGACAAATATTCTATACATTCACTAACAAATAACTTTTAAAGAAAGACACGTTTTTTTATCATAACAGACAGTGCCAACCTCTCTCTTCTTCTAGACACGCAGCCTACTGCCTTCCACAGATAGAGCTGAGAGCACTCACCTGAAACTAGTCCTATAAACACAGCCTTTGTTCATACGTGTGTCGGAGGGTGACATTTCTGAGATAAAGCTTCCATTATCTGCTCAGCATCTGTTGTGGGTCTGTTCCCGACACTGACACAGTGAGGGCGTGGTGGCGCCGCCACAATGGCCGGCTGTCACGGCTCTGTGCCGGCGCCCTCCGTCGCTGGGCTCCCCGCAACTTCGGAGGCCGCTCGGTGCCCGGCCATGCAGTCACAGCCTCATCCAGGATGACAACAGGTGAGAGGAGGCTTGTGCTCGTGCAGGGATGTGCTGATAGCATGGCACTGATCACCCTTACACAGTCTCTCTCACACACACACACACACACAGTGGAGTGCACAGCATTTCCTCTTAATGGGATAGCCCCTTTTCTGACTGAGGTCATGTGCTTTTTGAGAATCAGCAAGATGTCAGTCTTCATTTCAAAATAAATCCATCACCATGTGGATCTCTCGATACAAGTGTGCCTATTTCAGTCCTGGAAAGCAGATTGCATCATCCGAAAACTCTCCAGTGAGGTAAACAGGAGCCAGCCATCAACCTAAATCCCTTACTTTCTGCTAGATTCTGTCACCTTTTCTCAGGCGCTTCTATATCTGGTCAGTATATGGCTGGCCCATCTTGCTGCTCGCCTTAATGCGTTTGGACGTGCTGCATGCTGGGCCAAACACCTGAATGCTTGAGTGTGTGCCTACCACTTTAGCCACAGGGGCCAGATGAGAGGAAATAGACAACAGGCACTATGGTGTTCATCTTCCTGCTCTAAACAACCAAAGCAGCTCCTGCTAGTGACTCAGGCTTATCTCCGAGTCCTTTACTGACCTCGCCGGTATCGGGGACGAATGCTGGAGCGAGCACATTTCCTTTCCTGCCAGCCATGAGATGAGCCGCAATAATCAATACGCTAATGGAGGGAAAACTTCAGAAACAGTCTGATCTTCTGAGCAACGCAGTGACCTCACGTAGAAAATAGCTCCTGCAGCATTAATGTGCTTATCTGAGCTATCTGCATTTTTTAGCTGACTCACCTCAGCACCAGAAATATGTGAGGATAGATGAAGGCACAATAATGCTGCAGGATTCACAGAAGGCATGGATACAAATGCCACAACGACAGCCGTATCGCGATGAGCCCGACTGTGGACAATCGAAGGGATGAATGTGTGTTTTCTTCCGTCTCTCAGCAGGGCAAAGGAGACCCACGCTGAAGTGGAAACGGAAAACTGGACCATCGGGATAGCCTGTGCTACGGTGGGATGTTTAGAGAATCCACAAGCATCATTTGGAGAAGAGCAACGGAACCAAACAGCTGCAGGAAACAGCCTGTCAAAACATTTTGACAACCATTCCGGTATTTTTCTGGACAGAGACGCCCTGCTGACATCACCACTGTTGGCACATCTATCCACCTGCTGGAGAAGCACTTGACAGCTGGTTTTAATTGAAAAATGTCGAATGCGCAGAGCCTGGCGGCCCGCTGTGTCAGAGCAGGCTCAGCTGCTGCACGGCTCCGGGGTAGTCATTTCTTCCCAGACGAATGAGTCACACTTATTAAGCAACCTGAATCTGGTGGACTCTGCTGGACTCAATTATGGAGGTCTGGGCCTAATCCTAATCAGGTGGTTCGAAGAAATAAAATGAGTGGGGATTTAGAGACTGATTTAAAGTCAGGCAAAGGGATAACGTAGTGGCGGAGTGGAATAAAAGTGGCTGAAGGTGGACGAGAAGATGGAAGAATGCCATCGCTTTTACATAGTTGAGGTCATTTAGCGGCCCATGATCATTTTACTGCTCCATTACAATAATTTCCAGTCACGTATATAAAGACTGCCAAATCAAACAGACACTAATCACATTTAGTGGCAATTTGATTAGTTTCTCAGGTATTTGGTTAAGCCGAAGCACTGGACAAAGTCGCTTTTGTAATCACAGATGGCAAAACGAGAAAAACTGAAATGCCAGCGGATGCTTAGCTCTAAACTAACAAAGGCTGGAACCTAGTGGTCTGTTGATGGCGTGACTGTAAAAGAGAGTGCTTTTTTAAAAATATATGACAACATTTGCTTTCCAGGGATATTCTCTGAACAGGATAAACAAATGGTAACAGTAAAAAAAATAAAAATAAAAAGTAAATGGCAGTCATCTTTGATGATCAGAAGATCAGTTGAACTGAAGAGAGAAAACTAGACAAGAGGGAAAAGGTGGAAAAACAGAGAAGGGTTTTTTCAATTGCCTGCAGCTGCCAGCGAGCAGCAGATGACCTGACTGGTGTTTTAGCTAATCATCCGGTCAGATTAGAGAGACAGGTACTTGGTTTACAAGCTTCCTCTGATGGCGCTTGTTCGACCGGAGCTTAGAGGCTATAGATAGTCAGAGGTGGATCAGAGACAGGGAAGTCCTCACTCACAGTCTGGGGTAGAGAGATTAAAGAAGAGAAAACAGACAGCACAGGGGGGGGAGAGAAAAAAGGAGAAAACAGGGAGGGCAGGGCAGTATTTCATGTCAAAACAGCAGCATTGAAAAAGAATCACTGGGGATGAAAGTGTGTGTGTGTGTGAAGGGGTCAAAGTGAAGCTGGTGTGAGGCCAAGCAACCCCCCAGAGAGATCCTTCTGTCCTTGTGTAGACATAAACCTTTCCGTCCATCCATCAGCTACATCCTTCCTGAAGTCAAACAAAGGTCAAATGGGAGACAGCTCCCCACCTTAATCCTCTCACCCTCCCACCGAGGAGCCAAAACACAGCCAAAACACTAATTCACCGTACACAGCTTGCTTTAAGCCAGCTAAATGCAACAAAAGCGACATTAACAAAGACCAATGGGGGGTGAAGAGAAGTTAAGACTGGTGGAATGGTGAAGCGGTTGTCCTTTTTTATGTAAAGCTCCTTTAATATGTTGACATATTAACTTTATCACTAAGCATTTCTAAAGAATGGTGCTTCTAAATGATTTCCATATAGTAAATCTAACTTTCTTGTCCATGTAAAAAAAGATGAGTCAGCGTAATCTAAATAAATCGGTTTAAATGCATCACAGTGTTAAATCTCGCTCGGACTGAATATCAGTGCAGATTACAACTGCAAAAGGAAAGCAGCTATGATCTAATCCAGTGTTTTTCAACCACTATGCCTCGGCACACTAGTGTGACGCGAGTGATGGTCAGGTGTGCCGTAGAAAATAATCCTATTTCACCTAATTGGTCTAAAAAAAATTTTTTTGATAATTTTCTGCAAATAATATGCCATTTTTGAGTGTCTGTGCTGTTCTAATGACTGGTGGCGTAATCATGTAATAATTCCTTATGACTAGATTTTGTATATAATTTTGCATACTGAAGTGGACATCAAAGTGCAATTTGATAAAATATGATAAAAATAATTTTTTGTGTTTATTTGATTCCTATTCAAGACATTTAAGATAAGATACGAATAAAATAAGAATAACTACAGTGTTACTATAGGCGGCTACAGATTTGTTTGACATTTTTGGATGGTGGTGTGCCTCGAGATTTTTTCAATGAAAAACTGTACCTTGGCGCAAAAAAGGTTGAAAAACACTGATCTAATCTATAGTTAACCTCTACTTAAACAGAAGAACTACTGTGACGCTGTGCAAATGCCCCTTTAAACGCTCTGAAAAAGCTCGGACCCAGTAGTGAAACACACTGCAGGCTGTACCAATCCATGGTGGCAAAAGGACTAATCTGATGGCTCAGACTAATCAAAGACAGGGGAAAAAACAACAGATCCCAATTCAGATAAATTCTTACTTTCTAAAAGGAAGTGGAGTGATGTTTGGGAGAAGCATTGAATAATCTCTGTCTGTATCTGGCTTTTCCTTGTTAAACGTAGTAAAATAGAAAATATGTTTATCACTATTCAAATAAACAAAGTTTTGTCCCTTGCTAAACGTTAAAGTAGCAAGTTACTTTGGATATAAATGGACTTGAATGCAATTGCAGAAAACTCTGGAGTTAGCCTCCAGCTCTTATTTAAATCTGGGCTATTTGTGAATGGAGTCAATTCTATCTAATAGATTTATTTTAGTCACACTGAGGTCAAATGCTTACATGTCAAACATCCAACCTTTTTCATAAAAATGCTCTTTTGAAATTGCATTACACTTTCTGTCACACTTTTCATCCATGATTTGTTTAATCAGTGTCTTTTTCCTGTTTCATCGAATGCTGTATTTTAATGTTGAAATAAATCATCTTCCAAGTTTAGTTATTGTGTTTAAATCTGGGAATAGCCTCCAATGACTAAATATAAAGATTTTAAGCGCACACAAATTAACCAAAAAAGAAATAAAGCTGCAAAGACAGAAATGTTGGGCACACAAAACCAAAATGGCAAAGTAGGAGGACAGAGCAGAATGAGGCAGCTCCTTCCTAACTCTGGCTGGGAGTGAGCATATTCCATTATCTCAACACTGTTTGACAAAACACACGCGCACGTCCACACACCCTCCTGTCAGAGAGGAAGAGTCCACAGCGATACTGAGGGGATTATGCTGGATATGTGGAGCAGATCTTGCTGAACGCTAGTGATCCTTAAACTCAGGGGGTTAGGGCTTAGCGGCAGGCTGCTTTTTTGTATTCGCTATGTCCATCTCTAAACTCAACTTTCTCTATCATCCTCTCTGGAAATTATTGTGGAGCGGATTTTGGAATCAAGGCAGGAGATCAACTGAAAGTGGGAGGATGTCAGACCGATAGCTTACACTTAAAGGACACTCAGTTGTGATGCCTTTCTCAGTTTTTATACGTGTTCCCATGCTTCCCCGGTTTATTATGCTGTTCAAAATTGAGATTAACAAGCGGTAAACAATTTACAAACAGGAATACCTGGAAGCTCATTATAGCTTTTCTCAGCCCCTCTTTCAGAGAATATGCTTTGCTAACTAAAAAGCTAAAATGAACTGAAACTGTCATATTTCCTTTAGAGACAAAAAAAAGGAGAAGAAAAAAACATAAAAGCAAAGGGAAATGGCATTGATTTTATATGTTCACACCAATATTTTTCAGGAATTTA